GGACTCCTGAGGACCCTAAGCCCAGGACTCCCCACTGTGGAGGTAGACACACACACACTTTTTTTTTTTTTTGGTTTTTCGAGACAGTGTTTCTCTGTGTAGTTTTGGTGCTTATCCTGGCTCTTGCTCTGTAGACCAGGCTGGCCTCGAACTCACAGAGAGCTTCCTGGCTCTGCCTCCCAAGTGCTGGGATTAAAGGCATGCGCCACCACCGCCCGGCTAGACTCCTCTTTATCTGAGCTCCCTGGGCACAGTTCCTACCTCAGCCACAACCCTTCATGCTCCCCTCTGAGAAACCATTTGGGGGTCTCCTTCTTTTGTTTGGTTTTTGCTTTTGTTTTTCTTTTTGCATGTCTCTTGTTGTATGGACCCTCTACCAGCAAGGCCACGGCTTTCTTCCTCTGTACATCAGTAACTGTTCAGAGCCTGAACAAGCAGAAGGGTCCGAGCCCACAACGACACTCCACAGAACCAGGATAGCGACTCAGGGGGGGCCACACAAAGGACAAGAAAATAGAGATTCCCGTCAAGTTCCAGTGATGATGCCGCTTGAGCTCGGAGCATACGTAGCACTCAAGAGTTGGAGAAGATTGCTGCTTCGCTCAAAACATTGAAAGTCTCCCATGGTTTCTTTTCAAGTTTAGCATGGTGCCTTCACAGGGGTTCTCAACCTGTGGGTCGAATATCAGATATCCTGCATCGTAAATATTTGCATCACGGTTCATAACAGTAGCAGAATTACTGTTATGAAGTAGCACAAAATAATTTTGTGGTTGGGGGGGGTTACCACAACATGAGGAACTGTCTTAAAGGGTCACCGCATTAGGAAGGATGAGAACCACGGTCCTAGAGTAACGTGGAGTGTAGTCTGAGAGGGAATTGAGAGCAGAGTAATCTCGTGGTATGTGAAAATGACACCAGCCTGGATCAGCTGAGGAAACCAGAGGTCATGGTCCCTGAAAGATGCCCACCAATCAGAAAGCAGCACCGCAGACCTGTGGCTTGGCTTTTCCTTTTCATCTGATTCCCTGCAGAATTCCAGGCAGGGCATGATGGGGACAGCAGAAAGCAGGAAAGAGGGAAGGGAGTGGGAGAAAGAGAGGGACTGAGGCGAGGAAGGAAGGGGGAAGAAGAAGGGAGAGACGCTGTTGCAGGCAAAGCAGTGAGAAAGGTACTTTGTGAACCTCCTTCTAAAGCATGGCCTTGGGGCATGACCTCCACATCCAAAGATGGGAAGATCCTGGGAGCTCCGGGAAGACTTCCAGCAGAGCAGACCATAGGTAGTTGATGGGTGGCACTACTGGCTCCTCCCAGTGGCCTGTTTGGCTTGTCCCTTGCTTTTTCTGTCACCTGTGCTGGTCTCCTTCCTTAGTAGTCAGGAGACGTGGTGCTCTTTTTCATAGTCAACTACAAATGAATGCTAGCTGTCCGTTAGGACCCGGATGTTTCATGGGACGGAATGGCAGCAACTCACAGTTTGTCCCACTTTGGTCTCCGGTGAGGCCATCCTGCCGAGGACTGCTGCAGTGCCCCGCTGAAACTCCAGGGAGGGACTGGACTCCCACACTCCAGGCTGAAGGGGCGGCTCTCTCTGTCTGCTGAGATCTCTGGCAGACTCTGAAGTCAGCCCTCTGCCAGCCTCTGAGTTGCTCTGAGGGAAGCAGATGCTTGGCTGTACTCGGCACACTCCCACTTGCCCTTGGCGCTGGCCCCAGGGGGTGGGCCATGGGGGTGGCATGCTATGGCAACTCGCTCTTCAGCTGAGCAGAGCTGGAAGTCTTCTGCCGCTGTTCCGTGTCTGTCTGTTCTGTGGGTAGAGTTCTGGGAACAGGCTCAATCCGAATTGTAATCAGCTTGCTTTGGGCCTCCAGGCTCGGTTAGGAATGGGGTTTTCCCTTCCTAGGGAATTTCACTCCTCGGTTGCAGACATATAAATACTTTCTAGAAACCTTTAGAAATACATTTAAGGACCAGTACGTAAACGTGTTCAGCACAAAGCCTGACAACTTGAGTTTGATCCCTTATGGAAGAGAAGAACCATCTCCTGCAAGTTTTCTTCTGATCTCACCACCATCCCCCAGAAAAAGCCAGGGGGAGGGGGGAGCTGGAGAGATGGCTCAGCAGTTAAAAGTACTTGCTGCCCTTCCCAAGGACCGATTTGTTTCCTAGCACCCACATGCTGGCTCACAACCGTCCATAACTCCAGTTCTATGGGATCCAGTGCCATCTTCCGACCTCCGCAGGTACCAGGCGTGAACATAGTACATATACATGCATGCAGACAAAACATACACATAAAATAAACCCCCCCAAAATGTTAAAAGAGTGTTTAAGACGTATTTCTTCAAGATAGTTCTTTCTCGAGGCCCAAGGGCCCTTTGTGCTGTAGCCAACATAGCTTACCCTCACTAGAGAGGGTGTGTTCGATGTGATGCCTTTCCACAAAATGAAATCCTTCCGTCTCGTCTCTCCAGAAAGAACTGTTTGGGTCTCCTTAACCTTTATCGCAGACTTATCACGCTCAAACCTTTCATTATCTCTCTCCATTCTTTCCCTTTGAACCTTCTCCAAAACATGTCTTTTAAGTTAGGGAGACCATAACTTAATTAGATCTCTCATTTCCAGAGGATTCTCGTGGCTCCTCCAAAGAAATAAATTAAATTTCAGTCAGATATATTTCATTGGGGGAAGGGTGCAAGAAAAAGAAATTGGATGCTTTATATAAATAGCACATTGTCTGGGCTGAAAATGAGTTTTCCTTATTCCAATTGTTTTGGGAACAATGGGTCCTTTTGGGGACATTTAATCCTTTTTGAGTTTCTAGCCTCCAGCTCCCCACAACTGGTGGGCTTTTGTGTATATGTGGCTTCTCTACCTAAAAAACAGGAGGCAGGGGTCTCTGCCTGGGGAGTCCCTTTCAGAGGTGTGTGTGGTAGTGAGGGTGAGCGTGTTCCATGCTTCCAGCCTTTTGACCAGCTCCATTCCAGGGTCTGCCTCTTTTCTCTGGGACTTCATCTTAGTGAGTAGGCTTGTTTTTCACAGTGCTTGGCCCAGGTAGCTGACCACAGGGGAGCATGCTGGGAGGAAAGCCAGGCCTGACTTAGCTCTCAGCTGGTAACAGAACCCCAGATCCCGGGCTCTGCAGTGCCTCAGCCAGGCTGCTTTGAAAAGTGGATTTCTCCACTTCTCTCACTGAAGCCTTCCTTGGGAGACTGAAGAAACGGGCCTCACAAAGGATGTCTGAGGTCCCTCCCAGCCTGAGCCAGAGACTCTCACAGTGCTCACTGTTTGCTGAGTGATCCATGGAGGGGTCACGAGAGAAAGGAAGACTAGGTGCCACAGGCAGGCAGGAAGAGGATACTTGGAAAGAGTGACAGTCAATTTGGACTCCTCCCCTCCCCTTCTCCCGAGGGCCCCAAGCCAGTGGAATGGAAGGGAGACAAACATGATCACTTTCGGGTGACCTGTTTTGAAAATGATCACTTACTGGCCACCTGTGATGGGTCAGCACTGCCCAAGGCTCCATGTGCTATCCGTCTTTCCATTCCATGACAGAGTGGAGGCACTCGGTGTCTTGTACCATCACAGCCACCACTCCCTTCCCCAGGAGTCAGCATCCTCCGGTTCACATGCCCCTCTTTGGTGAGGCATTAGACTCTGTGTCTTGGCAAGGTTCTCAGGTTTTCCCTTCATTACTACTACTACTACTATTACTACTACTACTACTACATTACTACTACTACAACAACTACTACTATTACTACTACTACTACATTACTACTACTACTACTACTACCACTACTATTACTACTACTGCTACATTACTACTACTACAACAACTACTACTATTACTACCACAACTATTACTACTACTACTACTACTATTATTATTATTATTATTATTATTGAGAGAAGGTCTCACTGTGTAGCCCTGGCTGGCCTGGAATAATTCCCTATGAAGACCAAGCTAACCTCTGCTCTCTCAATGCTGTATCAAAGGTGTGCACCACCATACCCAGCTCCCCCATTGCTCCTGCCCCAGTGCAATCAGATAGCTTACAGTTCCTTCCTTCCTTCCTTCCTTCTTTCCTTCCTTCCTTCCTTCCTTCCTTCCTTCCTTCCTTCCTTCCTTCCTTCCTTCCTTCCACGTGGACAGGGACCATGTGAATCTTGTTCCCAGCACCCAGAACGTGCTGATGAAACAGTTGGCAGAGAGTAGCAACTTGTCCGCATATGTGCGTGAGTACATGGAAGCATGGGTCAGCAGCAAAGCTGGATACGAACCCAGATCTCTGTGGCTCTGTCAGACCTGGCCCTGCAGTACTCCTCGAAAGCTTGTGTGCAGGGCCTCACTGCTATGAGTCTCCTGGAGATGCTGGCCCACCGTCAGGAGGGCTGTGAGCAGTCTCTCCAGGAGCAACTGATGGTACACCCTGTCTCTATCTTATCCAGTAATATTGGTCCCCAAGGATGTCTGTAAAATAATGGGAGATTATGAATCCACCTGGGTGGTTGGGGCATGGAAAAGAGGAAGTGAGTTTATCCAAATGTCCTTGTAGACATTTAGCTCCACATCTTCGTATCCATCGGCTCCGCCTCCCCAACCAATCCATCAAGGGTTGTAAGAAGCTGCTCTGTAGGGGGATCTAGGTCATTGGAAACGAGTGGGTGAAATTCAGGGAGGAGAAGTACAGACATGACAACTTTTAGGGAAGTGAAAATAAAACCCCAGTGTGGAAACAAACTGAAAATAGACTATATGGAATGTCAGGCTGCATGCAAATCCAGTGCTAATTACATGGAAATTAATGATGAGTCCCCAAGTTCCATCTGCCTTCCTGTGACCCTCGGGGAGCCCCTGCTTCAGATCTTTCCTGTGCCATATAGCAGTGCAGGGAACGCAAACTCTGATGTCGGCCCCCTGCCCACTCTATCCCGGTGAGAGAAGCTGAGAGGAAGGCTAAAAATACTAACAATAGATATTTGATTTCTTTTTGCAGACAAAAAGCTCTGGCATCCACAGGAGGAAGAAGCGTTCAAGCAGCATGTGACTGGTTGGTATGAAATAAATAAATTGAGAAAATAGCATGTAATTAACTCTGAGTGTCTGTGAGGAGTGCGGGTGTGCAGTCTTTTTCTAATGGACCCTTCCAGGAGGGGATGAGCCAAATGTGACAGGCACATTTATCAAGTCGACTGCCTCCTCTGCCCGGGCCCCAGGGTATGTGTATCTCCTTGGATCTATTTAAAGGCTTTCAAAATCTTCCCAGATAGAGGCTCACGTTATCTGAGCGCTGCCAGTCAAGTCACTTCAAGATTGGCTGTACGTGTGTGGACGCCAGGCTGGCCAATTTAGAAAACCACCCCACTTACTCATTCGCCAGGATGTCATTCCCAAGAGAAGGCCCCAGGCCACCTTCCTGGGGCTTCCTTTTGCTTTGGAGGTGCAGGAGCTCCAGCATAGACGCAGCTGAAGGACGGGGCATGTGCAAGGAAACTACGCTGTGGCGAAAGGATTTGGAGTTAGCCCAAGGATGCTTCCTGGAGAGCAGCTTTGGGGTTTTTTTTTAGGGAGTTGTGGGATGAGGAGGCAATACCACTCTCTGGAGAACAGAAGCTTCTCTCCATCTGAGAGTTGGTTGCGAGTGTGAGCTTCAAAGGGTGGATTTTTGCAGCACAAATGGAAGCCCTTCCCCGTGTGGTCCTGGGGTGGGAGGCATGGAGAGGGATGGGCCTGCCTCTTCTCTTCCTCCTCGTCCACTGTTCTCCAGTTCGCCTTTCTTGGTTCTCTTCTCTCGCACAGGTTGTTCTCCCATGTCGGGGACCCCTTCCTGGATGACCCCCTGCCTCGGGAGTATGTCCTCTACCTCCGCCCAACCGGCCCGTTAGCCCAGAAGCTCTCTGACTTCTGGCAGCAGTCCAAGCAGATCTGTGGGAAGAACAAGGCCCACAACATCTTCCCCCACATCACCCTCTGCCAGTTCTTCATGGTGAGCGACATGGCAGTCCCCGTCTCCCCACCCCCTCCACTGTCCGGACAGTCCCCGGGATCCTGAAGTGAAGATAGGAGAAGACTAAGGAAGTGTTCGGGAGCTCCCAGCACTGGGTGGACCTCCTAGGAGTCAGTGTGGTTGTGGTCCATAGCAAGTACCCCAGTTCCACACTCCTGACATCTGCTGAGGCCTGGAGCATCTGGGTTTAGTGCAATCAGGACAACCATGCACTTCTACAACCTGAAGGACAAGCCTGACCCTTTGTGGGTGGCACTCTGGCCTGGCACCTGAACAGCCACTGACATAGCTTCATGCATGCTTACTGTCTGCTCTCTCCACTCTCAGGATAGGAGTCACAGTGTGTGTGTGTGTGTGTGTGTGTGTGTGTGTGTGTGTGTGTGTGTGTGTGTGTGTGTGTGTTCCAGAGATCCACCTCAGGTGTCATTTCTCAGAAGCCATCCATCCACCTGTAGTTAGTCTGGAACTCACAAAGGAGCCTAGGCTGGCTGGCTAGTAAGTTCTAGAGATTCTCCTGTCTCTGCCTCCCTGGTGCTGGGATTACAAGCTCACACTACCATACCTACCTTTTTTGTGTGGTTCTGGCAATTGAATTCCACTCCCTCATGCTTACATGGCATGTGCTCCAAATGAGCTGTTTTCCTTTATTTTTATTATTTTTTGAGACAATCTCATGTAGCTCAGCTTCAAGCTTACTTACATCACCAAGCATGACCCGAAACTCCTGATCTTTGAACTCCTGATCCTCCTGCCTCAGCCTCCCAAGTGCGGTGACAGCATGCCTGGGCCACTCTCAGGGCCGGGAGGGGAAGAAACAGAGAGCGTGGGGAACAAGATTATTGGGTTACAGACAAGAAAAGCCACTGCACCTACATGGACAGCACCACGAGGTCTTACTAGAGTTTTCTAGAGACTGAAAACCCCCACCAGCCACACTTCTTCATCCGCACTCCAGCTGTCTAAGGGAAAAGCTGGTGTAGGGGCTAAATCAATCCTCCAAAGTTTGAAGTATCTGTCATCTACCTCCGCTCTCACGGGGATGGAGTTGACCTACCCACATGTGTTCTGCACGAAACAGGATGGTAGCCTTTTCAAACAATTTTCAAAACATAGTTTGCTTTGTTCCCCCCCCCCCGCCCCCAACATAGCCTCTCTCCTCGTGTGTCTCAGGTAGTGTTCCTAACACCTTGTCTCTAGCAACTCACTCTGCAAATTAAATCAATTTTCACTTCCTCTTAGTCATGCCAGGATCTTGCAGAAAAGCATTCAGAGGTTTAGAGACTCTCATTCTTCCTCCCAACCCTCCAAAGAGGGTAGGTGGATGACATCACCGCTCCCCGGACCTAATCTTCCCTCCTCCCCAGATCAGGGGAGAGGAGGTGGAGACGTAAGTTGTCTAAGGAGCAGCTCAAAGAGCGCGGGGAGGCTGCGGTTCTGTTTCTTTGTTTACTGCCCCCCCCCAACACCACACACACACACACACACACACACACACACACACACACACACACACTCTTCCTCTTCCTCTGAATCTCTGGCATCTTTCTCTATCTACCTCTGCCTTTTTCCCTTGAAAAAGGGTCTCTTGCTGAACCGGAACCTCGCTTTTTAGGGGTAGGCGGGCTGGCTAACGAGCTATCAGACTCTAGCCATCTCAGCCTTCCTGTGCCTGACTTTTTATGCGGGTCCTGGGGATTTAAACTCGGGACCCCATGCTTGCAGAGCAGGCACTCTTTCACACTGAGTTGTCTCCCTAGCCTGCCTGTTTTTCAGAGTCAGGGGTCAGGATCTCAGGTCTCCTAGGCTAACCTAGAACTAACTCAATAGAGCCGAGAATGACCTTAAACCCTTAGTCTTCCCGCCTTCACTTCCTCGGTGCTGGGTTTTCAGATGTGACCTCCACACACCCAGTTTGTTCGCGCCCCCGTCCAATTTCATGTGGTATTGGAGATGGAATGTTGCCAATGCCAGGCAGGCATTCTACCGACCAAGCTGCGTCCTCTGCTCCAACCCCTACGTTTTTCTATTTTACATTTTATTTTGTGTTTATAGGTGTTTGGCCTACATGTACGTCTGTGCACTGCCTTCATGCCTGGTGCCCACAGAGGCCAGAGTAGGGTGTTGGGTCCCCTGGAACTGGAGTTACGGATAGTTGTGTGGGTGCTGGAAACTGAACGTAGGTCCTTTGCAAGAGCAACAAGTACTCTTAACCTGTGAACCATCTCATCAGGCCCAAGAACTTTTTGTTTAATTGGCAGATTATGGTATATAGCATGACTGTTTGATATATGTATACATTATAGAATGTGGATTAAGCTAATCCTGTACACACTACCTGCATCATTGTTTGCTTGTGGTGAGAGCTTGACCAGCAACTGCCTTCCTCTTCTTGTTTTTCTTCGGGTCTGTGGATTGAGCTCAGGGCCTCTTGCATACTAGCAAAGAACTCGTAACACTGCACCCCATTCCCAGTCCTAAAATCTACCTGCTAGCAGTTTTCAAGTATACATCGCGTTGTTTCTAGGTATTGTTGCCATGCCTCTATTTACTCCTCTGAAACGGTGCGTCTTTTAACCAATACCTCAGCCCCACCCCTGGCTTTCATTTTCTGCTTAACCAATCAGAGGACATTCTGGCAAGGTCCCCAGGAGCCACAACAGAGAAAGGGGGGTGGGAAGAGATGTCAGGAGGCATCCCCTGGTTTCATTTGCCCACTGGAGAATCAGTGTCTGGATAATTGAGAGCCTGCATCTCTTCCCTCCCTTGTGGACAGGAGGGCTGGTTAAGTGATTGCGTGATCAGCCTCAGCTCCCTGGGGACAGACAGAGGGAGTGCTCAGTGCTGAGGGGTGGCAGGCTTCTCTCTCTCTCTCTCTCCTGGGCTGTAATGAGGCCTGCTCGTTTTCCATCCCCAGTGCGAGGACAGCAAGGTGGATGCCCTGGGGGAAGCCCTGCAGACTACTGTCAGTCGCTGGAAGTGTAAGTTCTCGGCCCCCCTGCCCCTGGAGCTCTACACCTCCTCCAACTTCATTGGGCTCTTCGTCAAGGAAGACAGCGCCGAGGTCCTCAAGAAGTTCGCTGCTGACTTTGCGGCAGAGGCTGCGTCCAAAACAGGTGAACGTGGACCCAAGGCTGTCTGCGCAGTCCTGGATCCCAAGATCAGAGGTCAAAAGGGCAGGGGTGGAAGTGGTTATGTAACGATCAACCTACAAAGAGGAAAGGACTTATTTTGGCTCACAATCCCACAGTTTTCAGCCAGTGGTGATTGGAGCCATTGCATAGGCCTGTGGTGAGGCAGAACATCATGGTGTGAGGATGAACAGAAAAGCAAACCTGCTCCCCTCAAGGAGGCCAGGAAGCAGGCGAGAGTGAGCCCAAGGGATTGGGGTCCCAGTGTCCCCTTCTAAGGCACATCCCAAATAACCTAAATTCTTCCCATAGGCTCCACCTCTTAAAGTTTCCACATCCTCCCTATAGTACCCCGGGTGGGTGGCCAAGCCTTCCACCCGTGACATATGGGGACTTTTAAGATCAAATGGTACCTTCTGCGGAGGAGAGGGCTGGACACAGGAGGTGGAGGATCATGTGGAAATGGACCCCCGTGGCCGAGCACACCCCACGTCCCTTGTGAAATGTTACACCTCTTTCTGTCCTGCTGACCAACTGAAGAGCTTGCCCATGACTTGTTCCACGAGTCCCAGGCACTTCACTGTTCCCACTGAACTATAAATGTAGCCCTTTGTAGTGGCTCCACCCCTCCAGTCAGGTTCTGAGAGAGCATCCTTTCATCCTGTAAGCTCCCCATCCATGTATGCTTTTATCTGGGTCTGACTGTTCATTCCATAGTGCAGGCCAGAGTGGAGTGGAACCACTTTGTAGTAATTCATGAAAATGTTCATCAAGTTGAAGCGTGTTGGTTCAGTGGGTTGTTTTATTGTACAGTTTATTTTGAGGTAGGGTCTCCTGGGGCCCGGGCTGTCCTCAAACTTGATATATAGTTAAGGCTGGGCCATGAGTATCTAATCCTTCTGTATCTGACTCCTGAGTGCTGGAAGTCTTAGCTTTGCACCTCCACATCTGGTTTGACCTGGTCCTGGGGGTAGAATCCAGGGTCTCATGCACGCTCTCTCAATTGAGGTGAGCTGCATCTCTAGCCCCTTCCCTAGCCCCTGAATCCAAGTGCTGAATGAAAAGCTGGGGGACACCCACAGCTCCCCAGCCACACATGGAGATGGAAAGACGTGATCCAAGCCACAGAACTTACTCCTTTGTCTCCTAACCTTCATCGGTACCTTAGAGGCTGTCGGTCCTCGCCGCTGTTTATATTGCTTGTGTGGCGTTTCTTCAGAGAAGCCCCCACATAGAGCTTGGGCACTAGGAAGACTATAATCAGAAACAGCCACAGAGCTGCAGGGTCACAGTGCATGTGACCCTGTGAGTCCTTAAGACACTCCCTGTGGTTTGGGACCCCCTTCTGAGAACCCCTTTCTCCCAGGGACCAGCCATGGGTTTACGAGATTCAACAGAAAGATGAAACATTTCAAAGAGAATAACAAAGAGAAAATCACCCTTCTTCTGATCCATTGTCCTTAAGGGCTTTTTTTTTTAATCCCTCTGGCTATTGTCAGTCCACTAAATCACTACAGGAACTAACAAAAGCCCTGTATCCTTTACAAATCAGAAGAGCAGGGCTGTGGCCGATTCTTAAAGCGCTTATGGAATAAGAGACAGTCAAAGGACTTGTTTTCTGTGTGGGAATGAGAGACTGCTAGCCCCCTCTCCAAGAATCTACTGTCAAGAACTTGGTTTCACGGCTCTGACCCTGTGGTGCCCCCTGGTGGTGATCTGCAGAGCTGTATGGCCCTGACAGCTGGTCTAGCTTTGTGGAAAGTAGGTCATTATGTCTTTGCCCTAGAACTCATGCCGGTGTAGTCGAGAATTACTGGTTCACCCAGATTCTTCCAGCAAGTATATTTAGTGTTGTTCTTCATTCTGGGTGGCTCAAGAAGACTCACCCATGTGCATTTATTTCATCAGCAAGTACCAAAGACCCATGTGGAGTGGAAACATACAAACATCTGTCTCGTGGACTCACTCCACAGAAACACCCTGCAGTGTAATGGAGAAAGGGCCCAAACCCAAAAGATCGGCTTCCTGTTCTATAGTCCCTTAATTTCTTCTTATTCCTTACTTTTTTCTTGTTGCATTTTCTTCATTGTCCTCACTTGGGAACTAGACACTTCTTCCTCGTGTGACATACAAAGAGGAGATAAAACTCATCCCTCACATTAGTAGATCTGTTCTGCTTTATTTTTAGCATTTCAGAATAATGGTATGCATACTTCAAACGACCCCAACCCAGAGCAGTGTCACCCCGAGGGGACATTTGCCAATGTGGGGAGTGCTTTTGGGTTGCTGTGACATTGAGGATGGATGCTCCTGGCATCCACTGGGTAGAAGCTGGGGTGCTGCAACACTCTGGAATGCAAGAACAGCTCCCTACAAATAGCTGTTTGCATCAGTGTTGTCGGGGCAGCCTACTGTATACTGTGTGCGTCTCCTCCACCCCCCTCATTCTCCACCACACTTCCAGAATCTAGGAAACTCGGTCCCAGATGAAGACAGTTTAGCTCCAGCAGTCACACTGTTACAAAACCCGCTGTGTGTTTCCACATCAGTCATGTCGGCCCTTTAGGTCTCTGTTTTTCTTCATCTGAATGGTGGGGCTGGTGATGAACCCTGGACCTGTCAGGAGGAGCCAGCCAAAAAGATTACCCGGAGTCCCTCCACAGCTCCTGAAGAAAAGCCATCTGTCGTGTGTCTTTTTATCTCTGGAACAGCAGATTAATTCGGGGACTGGGGTCCACCCCTTTAGTTCACTGCCGCCCCTCCCAGAGACTCCCTTCTTTGTTATTTGGGGAACAGAACATCTCAGGGCACCTTTCTGTCTCCTCCATTGTTGTGATTTCTTCATCCTAACCCCCGAACACTACCTTCCTTTTTTCCAGAAGTGCACGTGGAACCTCATAAGAAACAGCTGCATGTGACCCTGGCGTACCATTTCCAGGCCAGCCACCTACCCACTCTAGAGAAACTCGCCCAGAACATCGATGTCAAGCTAGGGTGCGACTGGGTGGCCACCATATTCTCTCGGGATATTCGATTTGCTAACCACGAGGTAATGTTTCCCTGGAGCCCTGCGTATTCCCAGGCACAGGGATGCCATCAGAACAAGGAGCTCTTGCTGCTGGCGACACAGGGCGATGGGGACCAAAGGGGGTCATCAAGCAGCACAGAAAAATGGGGACCCAAGGGAAGCAAGTGAGCACTTCACCAAGAGTCAGTGGGCTCCAGATTTTCTTGAGGTTCTGGGGACTCCCTGAAAGAGGCTTAGCATGTGTGACATGGTTCATCTAGATAACATCCCCATCTTCTGTCTGCCCTGTCAGCCTTATCGGAGGGACATAGGAATGCAATGGAGGATAGACAGAAAATATATTGGTGAAAAATTAGTATTATATTTATGTAAACGTTTGATGTTGAAAAAAGACATCATCCTGACCTTAGGTGAGTTGAACAGATAAATACAAAAATAAACCACAATCTTAAACCTACAAAGGCAAAATCCATAGGTATTTGAGGATATGGTGATGTCTGGAGCATGCAAGGTACTGTTGGGCATGCAGAGTTTTTAAAAATTCTGCACTCAAGGAGTTTTCAGGGCCAGTGAGATGGTTCAGCCAGGGAGGACGCTTGCTAGCAAGCCTGATACCCTGAGTTTGATTCCTGGAACCAACATAGTAGGAGGAGAGGAAGAGAGTCTTTCAGGCTCCCCTTTGACCTCCAGTGCAGGTACACAACACACACACACACACACACACACACACACACACACACACACACACACACACACAGAGAGAGAGAGAGAGAGAGAGAGAGAGAGAGAGAGAGAGAGAGAGAGAGAGAGACTACGTTTATAAGAAAAGAGTTTTGAGTCCAGCAAGGGAGAGGGGACAGACAAATGTAAAAAGAAAACTCACCTGGTCCCTTCTGAGAGGTTGCTGACACCAAGTGGAAGGTGTGAGTGAGAATGACTGAATCCTACTATAGACGAATAAGTCTAGCATCCTTCTTTGGATGTAATCAACGTGGCTTTCCAGTCAATCACGTGCCTCTCAGAAGGGGAATGTTCATCTTTTTTTTTCATCTTTAAGGAGACTTAGAGGTCTGCACTGAAGCAGTAGTACAGCTGAGGACCAGAGAAGGAGCAGAGCCTAGGTCTTCTGATCAACAAAGGGTGTGTGTGTGTGTTGGGGGGGGGGTGATCCATCTAAAGGAAGGCCACACACAGTAGTCCTAAGTGTCTGCTGGTTCCCGTTCTGTCATGGTTCCAGTTATCAGAAGCTATTATTTTATGAGTAGGGCTCGGGAGATGGCCCAGTGGGTAGGAGCACTCACTGTGTAAACATGGAGCCCTGAGTTCAGATCCCCAGCATTCATGCAAAAGCTGGACCTGACCCATGTGCCTGTGAGCTCAGCATTGAGAGGCAGACAGATGAATCCTGGAGCCAGTATATGTGAAATGGTGAGCTTCAGGATGAGTGAGAGACCCTGTCTCAAGGGAATAAGAGGGGGGCAATAGAAGAAGACACCCAGCCTCTTTCTCTGGACTCCACATGTGCACACACAGAGGTACGAGCACACAGGGGTGTACACACCTGCACACACACTTGTACATATACTACATACACAATGTAAACACACATAAATCTTTATATAACTTTTATTACAGTGTATTATTAGAACTTCTCTATTTTATTGTTGATTATTCAATCTATGTCTTCAATCTGTAAGTTAAATTTGACCATAGCTATAGATAGAATACATACAAATATATATATATATGTATATATATATATGGAGAGAGAGAGAGAGAGAATATGCTTACACGACACAGAGAGAATGTGTTTGATGCTATCTGCAGTTTTAGGCCTACCCTCTGGGTTTTGGAATGAACCCCATGGTTAGTGAAGAACTACTGTAGTTAGATGAAAATTTTTCTTAATTGCATTTATTAAACAATAGTTACATGTTTCCCAATTTTCAACAACAGAGTCTTTGTTGTTGTTGTTTTTAGCATACATGACCTTTTGGCAACTCTTTTATACTTCCTTAACATGAAAAAATACAGAACAGAAACAAACAGGACCTCTTGCTGCACCCAGGAACCTGATTGTGTGGGAAGCATTAAGAGCCAGTCTATGAACCATAGCTTCGGGGCGAGGTGTGGTGCTTCGGGAGTGTCGAGGGCAGGCTTGGCTTGACCTTCCTGATGAGAACATCCTTCAGGCCTTGGAGGTTGCTTTCTCCTGAGACAGACTATGCAGACTAAATCTGATGTTAAGAATTTTAGCATCTCCTGGAATCACCTAGAATGAGCCCTAAAGGATACTAGAGGGAGGTGTGGCTGGCCGGACTCTTTTTCCAAGGACAAGTGCAGAACAGAAGGTCAGGGGGTGATTGTGCACGGCCTTGGAGAAGTCACCTTTGTCGGAGGAGAAGGTGGCTGTGGAATTTTACAGGGCTTGTCTCCTAATGAACACTGCCCTCCAGTTAACTCCAAGGGTAACTCCTTTTTTCATGACCCATATTCTGCTCAGTCTGTGCAGCAGGAAAGAGGCTGCAAATGCCCACATGAATTATTTTCTAAAAATAACTTAGCCCCCTTTATCTCTTATTTGTGAAAGCTCAATTATTATGCTTTCTTCTGATAAGGCATCCACTTCCTCTCTATGTTCCCTCTGGGGTCTTCTGGTCTTCCGGAGCCCTTTGGGGTGTGTGACCCTCCCACCCTCCTCCTCCTTCATCCTGTCCCTAGGAGGGAGACTTGGTAGAGTGTTCTAGCCAGGGACTTGATGACCAGAGAAGGAGGCTGGCTTGGGCAAGGACACCCAGCACGGCCCTGTGATGCTTAGGAAAACTGGAAGGTGTTATCATCCCTCCACTGTTTCAGATTCTCAGGTACAAACTCACGGATGCCTGTTTGGAGCTCACACATCACCGCCCGTGTTTGTGATGACAGCAAGCTGCAGCACTTAGAGTGACCGGCCACAGAAATGTAGGACAGAGTTCTACACGAAGTAGACATTTCGGAGCCTCCAGCTCCTGCTTCTTTCCTGGCTTCCTCATTTCAGCAGGAGTTAGAGCCACAGCCGACAGTTTCCGTAATTCTCAGGCTAGAAACGTAGCTTGGTTTGTAGCGTGCTTGCCCGGAACGCTTGAATCCCAGGATTCAGTTCCCATAGCTGCATAAAACTGGGTGTGGTGGTACAACACCTGTAATCCTAGAGGTCATCCTCAGCTACCCAGTGAGTTCAGGGACAGCCTGGGCTACTTGAGTCCTTGACTAAAACAAAACAAACAACACCAAAAAGCCCAACCAACCAACTGAAAAGCAAAACAAACAAAAACAGACCAGGGGGGTGACGCTGAAGGGCAGAATTCAGTAACCCAGCAGTCACAGAAGGAAAACAAAAGATGATCTGGGGCGTGTGTACCTGTAATCTTAGTGTTGGGGAGGCGGAGGCGGCAGGAGGATCACTGGAGTTTGCTGTGTAGGTCATCTAGTCAAATCAGGAAGGTTCAATGAGAGACCTTGTCTCAAAAAAATAAATTGGAATGGGGACGGAGAGATAGCTCAGCAACTATGAGTATTTGTGCTCCAGAGGACCCAAATTCAATTCCCAACACCCATGTCGGGGGGCTCACAACTGTCTTCCCCAGGTCCCCTTCTGGGCTTCCGTAACAGCTAGCACAGGGCAGGTACTACAAAGAAATCACACTCCTGCAGTCACTTTCTGAGTCAGCTACCTTTGTGTTTGGTCTCTGTGGTCTAATGAGGGGGGAAAATAACTAAGTTTGGCATAATCTTTATTTTAGCATGTATTGTTTTTCTCTTACGTGTATGGGTGTTTTGCCTGCCTGTATGTCTTTGTACCATGTGTGTGCAGTGCCCATAGAGGCCAGAAGAGAGTGTCAGATCCCCCGGGATTGGAGTTACAGATGGTGGAGAGCAGCCACCCTATGAGTTCTGGAAACTGAACCCGGGTCCTCCAGAAGAGCAGCCCATGCTGTTCACTGCTGAGCCATCTCTCAAGAATTCTTAGAAACAGACACAAAATGTAAAACAAAGAAATAGCACAATTCAGAGCAAGTTAGGCCTGGCTCTCCTGTCTCTCGGACTCGGGCTGAGTTTTTCTATCTACTTTTGGGGTGGAGAGCCGCAGAGAGTACTTGGGTCTGCATTACTGTTTGTTTGTTGATTGAACTGTACCGCAAACCTGGAGCACCTGAGCGTGCACCCCACTACTAAGGTACACCCCGGCCTCCGATTATGATGTTAGAGGTTTGATGGGCTCGCTTGATGTTTAGGTTATAAATTCAATCATCAAAGTTATTTACTATCCCTCTAACATATGCCTAGGACATATTGTCTCCAGTCCTCCTTATGCCTCGATGCTCCCAGGGATGTCTGAGGTGGGGTGCTTGGCGTTGAGGAGTACTTCTCCGAGCTCTGCAAAGGGGAGGCTTCCTACCAGGCCAGAGGTCTTTTGAGCCCAAACTAAGCTGTGCTCAGGTAGCTTGGGTGGGGGAGAGGGGAGGGGAGTTGACTGTGTCCTGTCAGGAATAGCAGTGCTACGGTCCCCTGCATCATCACGTGACCACCCAGAATTGAGCATAGAAGAGATTTCTAGTATTGATTTTTTTTTGTTCTTTAAAACAATTTTTTTTTAACCAATTCAGCAGAGCCCTTGGCTTGCATGAAGATCAGAGATGGACAGGGAGGGAGAACGGAGGTGATGGGGGACAGACAGAGTGGCCAGCAACTGAAAGAACATGGGAAAATCAGAGACAGAAGCCTGCCCGCTAATTTAAAAAGCCAGGGAGACCACATCTATGTATTATCAACTTCATTCTCAGAGAAAAACCACGTTTTCCTGCCTCTTTTCTTTGGAGGGTTCCAGAAGAAAATGGTTTATTTGTCCTGGTTTGATGTTATTTTGTTTTCTTCTGAGATAAGAATTCACTCTGTAGCCCAGGCTTGCCTGGTCTCACTATCTAGACGAGGCTAAGGGCAAACTCCAGGTGATCCCCTATCTCAGCCTCCGCAGCACTGAGATAACAGCCGTTCCCCACCACACACAGCAGAGCCCTTTCTTTCTAACATGGTTTGGTGGCTAGCCTTGATGTCAGCCGCTGGCTGGTTCACAGGCCCACCCGGTGCTGGCCTCAGGCCCCAGGGTCATGACTGGCTACAAAGAGTACCATCAGTGAGGGACCAGGAACCCTGGGCCACGAGAAGTACCCATGCCCCTGTCCTCCAGCATTTTCTTAGGGCTCCACGTTTAACTTATAGTCTAGGGATTGGTGGAGACCAAAGCTGGAAACTCAGAAGATGGGAACCAGTAACCTGTCACTGTCATCTCTGGGGCCTTAGGGAAGACTGTGAAAGCCTCCTCCACCTTTCTGGCTGTCTGGAAACAAATGAAATAGGATGTAATTTTCTTTCCTATTGAGGTCTCTTGCTGGTAATAAAAAATACAAAACAAATGTGTAAAGTTAAAAAAATGTCTAGGGTTATGATGCGTATATACACCAAGAGAGGAAGTACCCCTTCCACACAGGATAAATCAGCCACATGGCCTGGCCTCATGTCTGCCCTGTGGGCCTTTTCTGAGCTCAGAGAAAGGACATGTGGCTTCCATCTGCTCTGTGGTGGAAGCTGGTTACCCTCCGGCACTCACCCTGGTGTCTAGGAGAAAGAGCTTCCTTTCAAGGTCTTTGTTACAATTGTAGGCGTAAAGAAAGAGCCTTGAAGGCCTGGAGGAGGTTTTGCTCTTTCAGATGAGTCACATAGAAAGGACCATCTTTCCTGATCGGCTAAAAGCACTTACCGCTCTGGAGGAAGTCCTGAATGGTTCCCAGCACCCACATGGCAGCTCACAACACAATAACTCCAGTTCCAGGGGATCTGAAGCCCTCTTCTGGCCTTCAAGGGCTCCTGCATGCATGGACATGGTACACACACACACACACACACACACACACACACACACACACACACACACACGTCTGTGAGCCTGTATAGAAGACAAGTTTCTTTACACAATTCCCATCTGCCTAGTGCTCGCCACAGCAGACAAAGCAGGGGACATGAATGTCTGTATGTCCAGCAGTTGCCCAGAAGAACCTTCCAGCTTCCTGATGAGTTCCTGAGACCCACTTCTGAGTCCTGACAGGAAGTGAAAGCATGACCAGGGTTTCTGGAAGGTTGTGGAGCACCAGGCACCTACCCATACGATCCTAGCAAGAGAGGAAATGCTTTCTGATCAGAAGTCAGGTCTGCCAAGAGCCTGTGACCCCCAGGGGCACACACACTTGCTGCGCACTTGACTATTGCGTATATAGAGTGTGGTCTAGTGCCTGAGGTGCTCAGAAGGATGGTAGATGGGTCTCATGTGTCCTCTCCTTTTTGCAGACGTTACAGGTGATCTACCCCTATTCCCCGCAGAATGATGATGAGTTGGAGTTGGTCCCTGGGGACTTTATCTTCATGTCTCCCATGGAACAGACCAGCACCAGTGAGGGCTGGATTTACGGCACCTCACTGACCACAGGCTGCTCTGGGCTGCTTCCTGAGAACTACATCACCAAGGCTGATGAGTGTAGCACCTGGATCTTCCATGGGTAGGTAGACCCTCTCTCCTGCCCCAGTCAGTGCCACTGACTGTCTGGCTTCCTAGTGGGCAGCCAACCTGAGGCTGCTGTCCATCCCTGGCTGGAGGGTAGCAACATCTCATGCCGAGCATGGACTGTTTCAGGGCTTCTGTCCACATCATCCTGCGCCATTATTCTGGGGACAGGGGGCTTCTCAGAGCAGCTAGACAGATTCCTGTTGGTGGTTGTTTTTGTTTTTCTGGGGGGCCCACCACCCAGCTCCCAAATAAATCACACACAGAGGCTTATTCTTAATTATAAATGCTTGACCTTAGCTTGGCTTATTGCTAGCCAGCTTTTCTTAAATTATCCCATCTAGCTTTTGCCTCTGGGCTTTTCCTGTTCTCTTCTGTAAATTTTACTCTTATTCCATGCCTTGTTGTGTAGCTGGGTGGCTGGCCCCTGGAGTCCTCCTCCTCCTTCTCTGGCTGCTTCTTCTTTTTCCAGATTCGTTTCTCCTTCTATATATTCTCTCTGCCTGCCAACTCTGCCTATCCCTCTCCTGCCTTGCTATTGGCCATTCAGTTCATTAGACCATCAGGTATTTTAGACAGGCACAGTAACACAGCTTCACAGAATTAAACAAATGCAACCTAAACAAAAGTAACACACCTCAAAATAATGTTCTCCAACAGATTCCTTCTATGTTGGCCAGACCAGTGACAGAAAGAGATTGTAAAGTCAGGAGCCTTAAGTGTAATCCTTCATTTGCTAGTTGACCCTGAGCAAGTCCTCAGACCTGGCATGGAGGTGCCTAGGCAACAGAGACTGTGTCCAAGGTGACAGATAACTGTTGGAACTTAACAGGAGCATGATGCCTCCCGTTCTTTATTAAGGTGACAGCCACCTGCCCCTCCTTACACTGCTGTCCTCAGCCCACACTGGGGTCCAACGTCCAGAAGGAACCATGTTGTATGACCAGCTTTGTCCTGGATATAAATAGGACACAAAGCTCCTTTCTCCTTCCCCATCCAGGGAGCCCAAATCCAGTCACCAGGCTTCTCGTGCCTGTTCGGTTTTTCCTCCCTTTTGTTTCTTCTGTGTGGCAATGTTGTTGAGAGGCAGAGCCCTGAAAATCTGCCGCATCCTAACCTCCGATTGTTGCTCCTGTTGGAAGGGGCCAGAGCAGGGTGCCTTCTGCCTGGTGTTTTGCCTGGAGGAAAAGAACAAAGAAGGTCCCCTGTGCTGTGAGCCCCAGAAAAAGCCACACACTCAAGATGGGAAAGAACACACTCTTCTTCCTTTGCCTGTGTGACACCACTCCCCAGCCCACAGACATCCAGATGCCTCATGTCCTCAAACATCTGGGTTTTTTTTTTTAAATGTTTCTAAAGCTGGAAATATAGAAGTTGAGACTCTGCAGACACCATTTTATCCCATAAAAATAAATAAGGGCTGGGAGAGACCACATTGGCAAAGTCATGCTTATGATCCCAGTGCTGAGAAAGAAGAGATGGGGGTTCAGGGGGGTGGGGAATGTTCAGCCAGCCTAACCTACCTGGTGAGCCACAGGCAGTGAGAAACACTTCCAAAAGAAGAAGGTGGTGAGAGGCTAGCAACATGGCTGAATGGGTGAATAGGTGAAAGCCTTGCCCCAGAGCCTAATGTCCCAAGTTCAACCCTCAGGGCACACAGAGAAGGTAGAAGGGAAAACCCACTCTAGTGGGTTGTCCTATGACCTACACACACAGATAGATAGATAGATAGATAGATAGATAGATAGATAGATAGATAGATGATAGATAGATAGATAGATAGATAGATAGATAGATAGATAGATAGATGATAGATAGATAGATAGATAGATAGATAGATAGATAGATAAATACTAAAATGTTTTGGAGGTGTGTTAATTGGGGGCTGGGGAGATGGCCCAGCAGTTAAGTGTAGACGAATTTCTAAACAGTCTTATTAAATAAGAAACACAGAGCCAAATACAGAGGTAATAGCTAAAGAAATCAGAGTGAATAGCCATGACTAGCCTTAGCTTACCACCAGCAGTAGCTTCCACAGAGAGAGCTTCTTCCTATCTGACCTGTGCTTTCATTGACTTCCTGTTCTGCCTTCTCATTGGCTCTAAGCCCAGCCACATGACTTCCTGGTCACTGTCTGTCTGGACAGACCTCCAGGTCTCTATGGTTGGTACTGGGATTAAAGGCTCGTGTCACCATGCTTGGCTGTGTCCTTGACCACACAGAGACTCTGCCTGCCATGTGATTGGATTAAGGGCATGTGCCACCTCTGCCGGACTTCTGTTTATGGCTCACTGTGTGATCTCTGATCTCCAGGCAAACTTTATTTATTAACATACAAATAAAATATCACCACAGTTAAGAGCACTTGCTGCTCAATCAGAAAGACCAGTGTTCAGATCCTAGCTCCTACAGGGCCCCTCACAAGCACATATAACTCCAGCTCCAAGGGATCTGGTGCCTTCTTCTGGCTACTGAGGGCCCAGACACATATACTCACACTGATGTATGCGCACACACTCAAGTAAAAATAAAATAAATACATTTTTAAAAAGATAGACAGTGCCCAAAGAGTTCAGGGTTATCCTCTGTCCTCCCCCGCCACAACACACACACACACACACACACACACACACACACACACACACACACACACAAAATCCAGTCATGTAATAGCATTTGGGTCCGGGATGGACCTTGTACACAGTGATGGTCCCTTAATTGCGTCATGCAGCATGCTCGCAGCTTAGTTTAAGCTCCCTCTGATGCCATTCAGACAAATCGCCCAGTGACACACTTCTCAGAACATCTCCCCAATAAGTGCTGAGAACTGAAGAGAATTTGCTTGACGAAGGACAGCTCATGGGTCTCCTTTTTAAGCAATGGAGGCTACATGTGGGGGAAGAGCACACATGTGAAGTCCTGCTAACCCATGTAAGACCTAACATGTAGACCTCCTTACTGGCCTAGAATTCAGCCTCCACCAGGAGAAAACTGACTGGCCTCACTCAGGGTACCATGGGAGGTCTATGTGCCATCTTTTACTTTGAAGATAATTGTTGATGCTATTTCCTGGGAACTTTGAAATTAAACTATCAGGTCCACAGCTGACTCTGCTAAGAGTGTCAGAATACAAGGGTTAGGCATTGAGACTCTGTGATTAAGAATTTGAGTTTTGGCCGGGCGGTGGTGGCACACGCCTTTAATCCCAGCACTCGGGAGGCAGAGCCAGGCGGATCTCTGCGAGTTCGAGGCCAGCCTGGGCTACCAAGTGAGTTCCAGGAGAGGCACAAAGCTACACAGAGAAACCCTGTCTCGGAAAAAAAAAAAAAAAAAAAAGAATTTGAGTTTTAGTCGTGTTATATTCAAATCCTGACTCTTTCACATACCAGCTGTATAACCTTGCCCAAGCTGACTGACTTCTCTGGGCCACCGAAGAAGAGATAATCATTGCTCATACAGTAGAAGCTGTGGTGGCGCCTCCAGTAAAGGTCAGCTTCACAAGATCTGTGGGGACTGTTCATCAGTCCTGGCTGCAGAATACCTGATAGTGTTTTGATTCTTTTTTGTCTGTTTACCAGACCTCATTAAACTAAATGTCTCTTCCGTAAAAAGGGCCTGACAGGTGAGCTGCACGTTATTTCTTACCCCCAGAGATAGAATTTGACTCACAGAGGCACAGCATAGCTCAGTTCCACGGTAAGGTGGGCCTTCTCAGGTGAGCCTAACCAAAGATGGACAGTCGTGGGGAGACACATGAGCGGCCTGGCTTGACCCTGACTGGCTTCATGAAAATCTGTAGAGAGGGTTCATGCAGTGTACAGGGACTTGGGATGTTGGTGGCATTTATACCTCTCCCCACCCAGTGCTCCTCAGCCTTCTGGATAGCTAAAGAAATGTTTTCTCACAGCCCTTTTTGGTGGCCATTTGTTCCTGAGTGTCCCGAAGTACCTTCTGGGTAATGCTGGCTCATTGTCCTCTACAGTGGGGTGAGCTGCTGGCCCTCGAACAGTCCTAGCATGTTCTAGGCAGGAGCTGGAATCTTCCTGCTCCCTGAGAAGGGGCTCTGGGTGTCAGACCTGCTTCCTGTCCACCCTGGTCTAGCACTGTCCCCAAGCTGTCTCAGAGGGAGCCAGGTCCTTTGATTGTAGCGACACAGAAGATAGGAAGGGAGACGCCATTCTCCTCACCAAGGGAACAGGAGGGAGAGAAAAGGCCCTGCCATTTTCTCTCCAGCTGTGATCAAATAAAGATGTTACAGACATGGGCAAGGGAGGTATCAGCATGATTCCAGACAGCTAGACATTGGAGGCCTGAAGCTTTGATGAGCCAGACAGGAAAACTGAAGTTTCTTCAATTGTGTGCCGTTGGGGAGGCTCTCTGCTTAAAATAAAGGGGAACAGCTGGTCTATTAGAGTGTGTGAATGCCTCAGATTTCCTTGAGCTTTAGTTACTTAAATTTGCCCCTAACAGGTTTAATTTGACTGCGCATCATGCTAAACAGACACAGCTGTATTGAGCTACAGGCCCCTGGTTCTGCCTGTTAGGCTCTGGACAATGGTCTGTGAGGAGCAGGACGAAGCCCAGAGCACCTCCGTGCCTCTTCTTGCACAGGGCTGCAAATCTCTCGGGTTCTGACACCTTTTCCTGAATGTACAGTCAGGCTGAGGACATAGCTCAGTTGGTACAGTGCTTGCCTAGCATGCCTGAAGCCCTGGGTTTGTTACCACCATGCCCAACATCAAAGTTCATGATGTACGTGCATGACAACGTCCTTATGAAACTCATACTCTGTAGCACGAATCTTCAAAGGTCTTACCAATAAAAACAAACCCGGAGCCAGGTAGTGGAGTGAATGCTGGAAGATCAGAGAAGCAGAACAAGCCACAGCTTCCTCACCTCGCCAATTCCTCAGCTGATCCTGTTTCCTCAGACTGGAAGCCTCTGAGTCCTCATCCAAATGGATCTCAGCTGAGCTGTGCTGCTCAAAAGCCTAAAAGTTTAACCAGCTCTAGTTCTTCGTCCTCACACCTTAAATACCTTTCTGCTTCCTGCCATCACTTTCTGGGATTAAAGGCTCTTACCATTCTGGCTGTTTCCAGTGTGGCCTTGAACTCACAGAGATCCAGGCAGATCTCTGCCTCTGGAATGCTAGGATTAAAGGCGTGTGTGTGTGCCACCATTTTCTGACCTCTATATCTAGTGACTGTTCTGTTCTCTGACCCCAGATAAATTTATTAGGGTGTACAATATTTTGGGGAACACAATATCACCACAATACTCTGTACAATGAATATATGTCAAAAAAAATACAGGTAGGTGATTTTTAAAAACCCAAAAACTGATTTTTGAAAATGTGAAAAAATTTTTAAAAAAAAATCCTATTAAGCGTACTGTGTTAAAGACAAATACTGCAGAATGGGTGCTTGCAAACCTGCACAGATCATAGTGTCCACAGACACAAACCCAGACTTGATTGAGCAAACTGGGCCTTTCCGAGAGCAAGAAATTAAAAATTCAAATACTTCCTTTTGAAACTGCCCAGTGGCCCAGGAGGTGTTGGTTGGATCTGCCCAGTGACCCAGGAGGTGTTGGTTGGATCTGCCCAGTGACCCAGGAGGTGTTGGTTGGATCTGCCCAGTGGCCCAGAAGGTGTTGGTTGGATCTGCCCAGTGGCCATATTTAAATATCAGCCCTCATTATATAAAGCTTTGGAAAGCTGCGCTGTGTGTAGTAATTTCGGTGTGGCGTGTTTGGACAGTTTTGCTCTCAGCCAGATCACCTCTGGGCTTCCATAGTTACAGGGGCATGGCCAGAAATAAGAGTTCTTGGCTCACAGCTCCAAACATCTGGCAGGAGTCAGAGCCTCTGAAATAACCCAGTTTTTAATCATCTTCTTGGAGTTGCTATGGAGGCGAGCACAGTGCTGAAGACTGGAGAAGGCAGGGTAAGGGGTAAGGGAGAAAAAGGGATAAGGCTCTGTTCCTGAGAGTCTTAGAGCCACGGGCAAGTGGTGCTGGGAAGACATCGCCACTCACGTTCCTCAGATGGAAATTACCATGGAAAAGATTAAAGGCGGCAGGAACTGTTTGTTTCGCTGCAGCAACAGAAAGAGCTGGAACACTGGTACATAATTGATACCTCATTATTCTTTAACATGTCTTTGCTGCCAACCCTGCCTGTAGCATCCTAATAAGCCTAGGATCACTGGACCCCATCCCTGCCCAAGGGGATGCGTGCATCTGTTCTCAGCTCTGAGAACTGTCCGCCCTTGTTTATTAACTGTGAGACTTAAGTTAAAAAAAAAACAAGATGTTCTTGCCTGGGGATGGGGCGCTCCCTGCTCAGGTTCCCAAACACGGTATGACTAGACAGTCCTTTGTGCTCATTCCCATACTCCTGTTGAGCCTCAGCATGAGCTGATGACTCCTGGCCAAAGCAGTTAACCCTTTCCTCTCCTTCCTCTTCAGTTCATACTCCATCTTAAATACGGTGTCATCCAGCTCGCTCACATTTGGTGATGGAGTATTAGAGAGGCGGCAGTATGAGGACCAAGGACTTGGGGAGACAGCGCCTCTCACTATCATCTGCCAGCCCATGCAGGTAAGGCTGATCATGAGGGTCATGTCACATCTTCGAATCTAATTGGGATGCTTTAAGGACCATCCTCAGCATTGACCTTGCTCCTTTCAAAGGGTCCTATCCTTATGGGGAGACGGTACACAAGATCGTAAAAGACACACAGCAATCCAAAACTAGGAAGAGATGGGTGAGTGGTGCTGACTATGGACGTTACCATGTGGTTTTGAGCTTGGAAGCAAGGCCATCCCAAGGAAGGAAGAGGAGTCTTTCTCCTCAAAATAGGAAGAACGCCCATATTTGTACCAGTAGAATGAGGTTCTCAGCATAGTCCTTGGACTTGAGAATTCAGTGTACTGTTAACACTTTGGGGACAGGCTGGAGAAAGGAGGAGGAGGCGTTGTCAAGCAGAACAGAGACAAGTTGAAAGTTCAACACGTTAAGGATGAAAAGGGAGGAGACACTTTTGTCTGGAGCCGGGGGTTTGAATGAAGGAACATCTGGAGAGCAGGCGGCGAAGTCCACAGCACCAATGCACACACTAGCCCGGGCAGTGCAAAGAGAAGCCAGTGGAAGACCTGTGCCTGCAAGGACCTAGCAGCCCAAGGCAACTGGGAACATCTTGTGCGTCAGGAGGAAGGATGTGGAAACATCTGTGCAGCTCCACTAGCAGCTGTGGAAACCAGTAGTTGACTCAGTATGCCTATGTCACCATTGAGAAGTTGCAGCTCCCCCCCCCTCCCACCAGCTCATTCTAGAAATACCAACATATGCAGTCAGATAACAGAGCGCACCTGATGATTAGAATGTGCAAAAAGTGGCTGGAGCCATAACTCAGCAGTTAAGACTGCTCTTCCAAAGAACCCAGGTTCAACTCCCAGCACCCACATGACAGCTTTTAACTCTCTGTAATTCCAATCCTCATGTGTTCTTCTGGCCTCTGTGGATACTGCACACACATGGTACACATACTTGCATGAAGGCAAAATTCCCATACACATAAATAATAAAATTTTAGAAAAAAAGAAAGGCAAAACAGGGCACTGGATATGCAGCAGGCATGAGGCAGACATGTGTGACAATAGAATTTCTCCGTCCTTGAGGGAACTGATGACATCTCTTTGGAGTAGATAGCTGCCCTTCTCCATGAGATCATCTCTACATTCATGGCAGGTTTGACCTGTGAACTGTACCTTGAGTTAACCCTCCTGTTACAGTAGAGGGCAGCAAAGAGCAGAGCACTTTCACAATCCTTCATTCTTCAAAGCACCTGCAGGTAGCTCATGGGCACCTGAGAGTAATTTGTGAGGTCTGTAGGAGTTTATTATCCTCGCTTTACAAGCAGGCTGAACTAAATCCAAGGCAGTCAGGGAGATTGTCCAAGTCATACATTGGCAGAATTTGCCCTAGAGCTCCGCTCACTTGGCATCAGGGTAAGTCTATGGTGCTGTGTCTATGCTTACTCTTTGCTTTTCTTCCTCTGCAGCCCCTGAGAGTCAACAGCCAGCCTGGGCCCCAGAAGCGATGCCTCTTTGTATGTCGGCACGGGGAGAGGATGGATGTTGTATTCGGGAAGTACTGGCTATCCCAGTGCTTTGATGCCAAAGGTGAGTGTCTGTAGTTTCTCCATCTAGCCAGTTGGAATCTCTGTGCTTTCGGTTACCCACAGTTAACCACAGCCTAAAACTAGTAAGTGGAAAAGTCTCAAACAAGCTGCCTTAGGGTTCCTATTGCTGCGATGAAACATCATGACCAAAAAGCAAGTTGGGGGGGGGGGGGTTTATTTGGCTTATACTTCCACATTGTAGTCCACCATCTGAAGGAAGCCAGGACAGGAACTCAAATAGAGCAGGAACCCGGAGGCAAGAACTGATGCAGAGGTCATGGAGGAGTGCTGCTTACTGGCTTGCTCCCCATGGCTTGCTCAGTCTGCTTTCTTATGGAACCCAGAACCACCAGCCCAGAGGTGGCACCACCCACAATGATCTGGGCCCTCCGCCATCAATCACTAATTAAGAAAATGCTCTACAGGCTTGCCTACAGCCCAATCATATGGAGGCATTTTCTCAGTTGGGGTTTCCTCTGCTCAGATGACTCAAGGTGGTGTAAGATTAGCCAGCGCACAAGCAGTTCATACATGTGTTTTATGTTATGATCCCTCCGTTCTGAGTAATGTGACAGAATCCATCTGTGTCCCATCTAGTCATCACTCCTTGGCTCAGTGTGTCCACAGTACATAGCTCCCACCTATTTCTTGCCTAATATCATCTTGGTTATCAAATCTATTGTCAGAGTATCATTTGCCTCTCTTCACTTGATGACATAGACACAGTATCCTTTCATACAAAGTCCACATACACTGCAGTAAGATATTTTGTATGAGACATTTCTGTGGGTTGCATTACAGTGTATCATTTTATTTTTCCCTTTTACTGTGGCTGACTTACAAGTTAAATGTTAACGTAGGTGTGCTTCTGTGGGAAAAAAAAAAACCCATAGTCTGTTCAGAATGTCTGTGGTTTTAGACATCTAGTGGGACTCTTGGAATGCATCACCTGTCTCTAAGGGGTGGTGGTTGATGGTCTGCACAGCACTGCATACTCATAACGGCCTCTAGGGGGCACAGTCAAGTTACTTTTATATGCATGTAGTCACCATATAGGTGTAGTTACAAAATTCTTGGCATCTCTAAGTCCTTCTGGGTTGCTCCAGCTCGTTGGGGAGAGATAAGCATTCTTATCCCCATTCTATAAACTGGGGTATCAGGGAGCAAAGAGTGGCTGTGTCTTGCTCATGTTCAGACAACAAAATCAGTTTAGAGACATGTTGATTCTGTGACCAGAGTTCCTGCCATGACATCACGGTGGGCCATCTGTTTCCACCATTCTTATTTGAGTGGCATCTTAAGAATGGGAGCCTTGCCTGTGTCTGGTTGTTATATTCACTGAGAAATCACCTCATCACTGTCACCGGCAGAAGGGACAGTGGATTCTAAGTCAATCTGCTGAAGAAAAAGTGTCAGATTTGATGTTTTCCCATTGGCTTCAGGTGGTTCAATTCAGTGTCTTTGACCAAGAAGGAGGAGGGGGTCAGGATCACTGAGGAAAATCTCAAGTAAACAAGAAGTCTGTGCAGCTTTTATTTGCTCTTCATCTCCCACCAGGCCGCTACATACGCACCAACCTGAACATGCCTCATAGCTTACCTCAGCGGAGCGGCGGTTTCCGGGACTACGACAAAGATGCTCCAATCACTGTGTTTGGGTGTATGCAGGCGAGGCTAGTGGGTAAGGGCTCTGGGACTGCATAGCTTCTCCTGGTTCCTTCAACAGACCCGTACCATGGGTGTGCCAACACGCTTCTTGAGGTTTTCTTTCTTTTTTTTTTTTTTAATTTCTTTAGTTGGATTTTTTGAGACAGGGTCTTACAGACCAGGGTGGGCTAGAACCTCACATTTTCCTGCCTCAGCCTTCTGTGGGCTGGGACTACAGTTAGGCCCCTGCTGATTACAGATGTGGTCCCTAAGGAGGAGTGAGAGAAGGCAAGACAGGTTTGGTTTACTTCCGCCACTGCTCTAGTAGATTCATCAGCCGATAGCTCAAGACAGCAGCGTCTGCCAGCATGGTGTAAGAAGAGGTGAGGGAAGAGGTGCAGGGGCATTGCTGAATTGGCACAGGCCCAGTGATGTTTTGAAGCCATTTGATTCTTTGAAAGCGTTTTCTATACTGGCTGTGCAGAAACTATGCTCTGTGCTACTCAGTCATTTAATATATGTTTATTGATCATTTACTTTGGGCAAGTTCCTGGACTAGGTCACTGGGACCCAAGTGTGAATGGAAACACATGTATGTGTTGTGGATGACTATCAAACTATACAGCTAACTGAATAACAAACTGCACGGAGTATGAGGAGAATATAAAAAAGAAAGAAAAGGGGTGGAAGGAAGCAATGAGGGAGGGAGGGAGGGAGGGAGGGAGGGAGGGAGGGAGGGAGGGAGAAGAAAGGATGATTAAGAAGCAAGGTGAGCTGGGGCTCACATGGGAGTCATCTGTAAAGAAGGAACAGAAGGGAGAGAGAGGTGTTCTTGGTGGAGAAGACAACATAAACAAAATCACAGAGGTTAGACATAGCATCGAGAGATCCCCACAAGCAAATGGTTCGGTGAATAAAGGCACTTACAGCAAAAGCCTGGTGACCTGAGTTCAATCCCCAGAACCTACATAAAGGTGGGAGGAGGGAGCTAATTCCATAAAGTTGATTTCTGACACCTCTCTCTCTCTCTCTCTCTCTCTCTCTCTCTCTCTCTCTCTCTCTCTCTCTCTCACACACACACACACACACACACACCACCACCACCACCACCACCACCACCAATAATAATAAATACTTAAAAAAAAATAAGTAGCATTAAGAGTACAGGGGAAATTGGTTAGTTGGTGGTGCACACCTTTAATCCCAGCACCTGGGAGGCAGAGGCAGGCGGATCTCTCTGAGTTTGAGGCCAGCCTGGTCTACAGAACCCTGTCTTGAAAAAAGACCTAAATAAATACATATAATAATAAAGAGTACAGGGAGTGCTGCAAGCCCTTCTAATTTCTAAAGCACAAGTTGAGTCAGGTCAAGAGAAGGGTCTGGCAAGGGAACCAAGTCCATGGAAGATATTGGCACCAAATGAAGACATTTAGAGTTCACCTCGTAGAGAAAAGAAGGGACCCCCATGAGGAAGCATTAAAGCGTTAGATGGGTTTCTGGTGTTCCAGAGTCTGCCCAGCTGAGATTCGGGTTAGCACACTGGAATTAAAACAAAGTCTGACCACCCTCTCCCTGTTATCACAGAGTGGGTTTTGGCTTCTTCCTAGTAGAGGTCAGAGCATTACCCTGTTTGTAGGCCTCCCCAAGAGGGCATTTTGTTGCATGCTAGTACCAGAGAGAAAGAAAGAGGCACAAAGAGGCGTGTTGCTTGGCCTCTTCCCTGGAAGCAGTGATGAGGGATCCGGCTGACACTACTGGCTCTCTGTGAGCTCCTGCTGGGAAAGGGAGGTGTATGGGTCCACTTGGCACGGTACCATCGAGGGTCAGGATGACGCCCAGGAGACGCTGTCATGCTGATTCTCTGTTGATTTGCTCCACAGGTGAAGCCTTGTTAGAAAGTAACACCGTCATTGATCACGTGTATTGCTCTCCATCCCTACGCTGTGTTCAGACTGCACATAATATATTGAAAGGTAAGACTCGGCTTGGCAGAGCTTATGGTGTTCATCCTACAGTTTCTTGGCACTTGCTGCAGAGTTAAGGAGCTTCAAAAACTGGAAGTTCATTTTGTTTTTGTTTTTGTTTTTGAGACAAGGTTTCAAGGTGACATGTAGCCCAGGTTACCCTCGAACCCGCAGCAGTCCTCCTGCTTCAGCCTCCTAAATGCTGGGATGATGGGCTTGAGCCTCCATGGCTTCCACAAATCTGGAAATTTTATTGAGGATTCTTTCACAACGTGACCAACCTTGCACAAAAGTCATGCCCCTAGTGATGTGATCCAGAGAGAGGGGGGATACTAATAATTTCCTCTAAGAATTTTAAGCTGTCTTGGATGGATTGTAGCTGTACAAATTATTCACACCTTTTACAGACATGATTCTTTCTCTTCACATTTAAGCAGTTGGATCTGTTGTTTATCTCTTGTATACAGCGGCAGCTGAGCTGTTAGGGGTTCCACATCATCGACATCTTGCTTTCTTCAGTTAATCGGAAAGACTTATTTATTCACTTACTTTGTGAGACATGGTTTCCATGGGTAGCCTGGGCTGGCCTCAAACTCACAGAGATCCACCTGTCTCTACCTCCCAAGTGCTGGGATTAAGGGTGCCAACCTCTGTGCCCCACAGACTGGGAAGGCTTTAAAAGCGCCATCACTGTGGAAGTACTCAACTCTCACCCTAAAATCCATGGCAGTTTGCGTTAACACAATCTCCATTCTCACTCCATTGGAAGGAAGATGGGGGCGAGGGGAGCGGGGAGTTGGATTGAACTTGAGCCAGACAAACAAATGAGCCAGAAATAAAGAAGCCAGCAAAGAATTTGACACAACACTTGAGTCCTCTGTGCTTTAACCTTCAGTAAACCTTCCTCAGTACAGAGGCATCTCTGAATTGGCTGTGCACAGAGAAACTGGACTAAAGGCGGTGTAAAGAGAGCTAAGTGAATCAAAAGGGAAATTTGTCTTCTCCGAGAGAATCACACTGTGATAAAACAGAACTTGTGCACTGTCACATGTAAATATTCAACACCGGGTTCCCTACAGACAAAGCGAGGAATTTATGTGACGTTCAAGTACAGGGTGAGCCGCCATACAGTAGTGGATGCCGTGAGACTAGCCGAAGGTTTTGAGTTTGAGTTTTGTTTTGTAAGACATTGTGGAATTTAGAAAGAATTATAATGTAGAAATGAGTGTATGGGGGGGTGTGCACACCTCTAATTCCAGCACTCCAGAGGAAGCCCAAACAGGAGGATTGAGAATTTGAAGTCAGACTAGGGTACATAGTGAGACTTTGTCTCTGACCGTAGAAAGAGAGTCACAAGCTTGGACAAATTGAGTAGTGACTTGTGGAGGGGAGAGTTTCTCTTAAATCAGGTAACAGCCAGTATACATGGAGGAGGTACAGCCAGAGTAATAAATGCACATGTTGGTAAACAAAAAAAATTATTTTATTTTTTAAACACATGCTTTGTGTATAGCTGTACAATTTACATACTAAATAAATTTACAATTTACACTATATAACACAAAATTTATAAACCTTGTCCAAACCCATGTGCTTACAACTTAAGTGCTATATTGAGTCTAGTAGGAATCACTGACTTGTAATTAAAAAGATTTTTTTGAGATTATAGTATAATTACATCATTTCCCCTTCCCTTTCCTCCTTCCAGACCCTCCCACACATACCACCCTGCTCTCTCTCATGACCTCTTTTTTCATTAGTTGTTATACATATGCATGTGTGTTTCTAAATATGTAAGTATGACCTGCTCGGTTTGTACAGTATTACTCGTACATATGTTTTCAGGCCAACCATTTAGTATGGGACAGCCATTTGATATGCTCTTCCCTGGAGAAAACCACCTCTCAGCATTTCCCAGTTGCCCACAGTTCCTTATGTAGGGTTGAGGCCTCGTGGGCTTCCCCCACCCCCTCCACCGTCCTGTCTGTTGGTGTCTTCTTTGTTTAGCTCATGTTTAGGCGGTCGGTTATGTCTGTGAGGTTTTACGGGTGTATCTTCTGATATTCCTAGGAACACACTCTTGTAGCAAACTCTTGTTTGTTCCCCTCTTTCTGCCCTCTCTTTCTCAGTGTCCACCTGAACCTTAGGTGTCCAAGTGTTTTGTAGATGTATCTTTTGGGACTGGGCTCCACGGTTCTGCATTTGATTGCCTGTGGTCTTCTGTATGTGTTTCATTTGTTGCAAAGAGAAGTTTCCTTGATGAAGGGTGATGCTTGTCTGTGGGTATAAGGAGGAATATTTTAGAATGTAGTTGGGAATTGTTCTGGTTTAGTAAACCAGTGGTTTCAGGTTTCCCCCCAAGATCCATGACTTCACCAACAGGTCTTCAGTCCAATTAGAGTGCTCTTGGCTATCATGCCACTGCTATGCCATTAGGGTTATCTTGCCATGCTTATCATTGTGATTGTAGACATTAGAACTGGGTAGGACTTTTGGTGGCTTCCCGCCTTTGGAAGCTTACATGGTACATCCTGCTCTGACTGGTAATTTTTGTAACAGCGTGTCCTGTGGTTCATTTTTCCACCGACAATTTAGTGAGCCCTCTTCATCTTCATTTTACTTCATCCCCAAGGTTTACAACAAGACAATCACTTGAAGATCCGGGTCGAGCCAGGCTTATTTGAATGGACAAAGTGGGTTGCTGGGAGCACATTACCGGCATGGATACCTCCATCAGAGTTAGCTGCGGCCAACCTGAGTGTTGATACAACCTACAGGTAACCTCTGACTTGCTGTCTCCCTAGCGCCCTGTGTCCTGCACTGTTACCACACCATGTTCATCTAGCAAATGGTGAACCTCACAAGGTCTCCAGGAAGTTGTTCATAGTGGTAGAAATCAAGCTATGATTTTAGAAAACAAAACTGAGCGAAAACCCAATGTTTCCCTGTATTGAATGTTAGCATATAATTATGCTCCTTACCCCACCCACTCTTATGTTCAATTTCCTAACTTTATTCTATCTACTTCAGTGTAGTAGTAAAGCCATTTCATATTTTAGGGACACACACAAATAAAGTGGTAATAAAACAGCTCAGTGGATGTGGGAAGTAACAGTGTGTCACCTTCCATTTTTACTTTAGATTTTCCGAATCACTTGCTCTTTTATCTGTTTGAGACAGGGTCTCATTATGTAGCCCAGTCTGACCTGGAACTCATGATTCTCCTGTCTGTCTCCCAACGGCTGTGACTACAGGCATGGGCCACCATGTCTGGCTTCCACTGGATTTTTGATTCTTCTTTCTGTGTTCATTTATTATTTCTATGTTCTTAGAAAGTAAAAGTAAATAAAGTGTGTGTGTGTGTGTGTGTGTGTGTGTGTGTGTGTGTGTGCATGCACAGACATATAAGCACTCTTCTGAGCTATGCTTCCAGCCCAGAAAGCCATTTTTATGTATACGACAGTCAAGTGGCTTGCTGATGGTAAAATATATTTTGTGATCATGCATGGAACTAATAACAATGACATTAATTTCTATTGTAAAAAATGAACATCTATTAATATTTTTCTGTGTCTCGGGTTCTGTGTGTTGCCTTGTAACTATTCTGGTCCTGTTTATTGCTATTTCCATTCGACCATACTCTGCTACGATATTTTTTTAATGCCCCCAGGTGACCAATCTGCATGCCTGATAAAGAATTAACCAATAATAATTCAGTGGCAATACCAACCAAAAACCCACCCAAACAAACACTTGGAGGAAAGACCAGCAATCACCACCATTCCAGTAGGAAATGAAACTCCTCTCTCTTAGAGCAGAATTTGGCAAAGTGACCAGTCTACATAGAATTTCCTTCCTTGTGCTCTCTGTTGGCCTCTCCTGTCAAATACCTGAAGTATGAATAATGCACTGGGTTCCTGGACAAGATGGGAGAGAATAAATATCCTTCTCCACATCCCCTCTTCTGCTCTGTGGGTAGAAACTAAGATAACCCAGTGACTCAGCTCTGGGCGACTCCCTATTATAAGGGGATTAGCTTTCCTCCAACCTAACATTAAATCGGACTCGTCACTAGCACACCTCACATGTTCTGTCCTCTCTCTGGCCACTGTTTTTCTCTTCCTTGGGGGAAACAGCAATAGAATATCGTCCCCGTGCCAATGCCATCCCCTTTCTGGCTAGGAAAGAGGTCAGGTCACAGACGACATTGGTAAAATAACTCTTGACTTCTCTCCATCCAGCCCCATCCAAGTCGTCTTGGGATGGCTGGGTTTTAGTTTCCTCTATGCATGTGTTCTACACTATTTCTCAAGATGACCTACAAAGTTCTGCACAGGCATTCCCGCTGAGCTCTACACTGCACACCAGATGTGTCCCCAGGCCATACACCCACGTGTTGTGCAGGCAGGATGAGTGCTGGGAATTGCAGGATCAAACATGGTCCTTATTCTAGGGTTTCTTTTCCATTTTAAAATTCAGTGTAACATTTTCTGTCAGTTTTGAGTGGGAATAGAAAGCCTCTAGTTCCATGAATAAGTTAAGAAAGCCAAAAGTAAAGCATATGAGACGCAATATGGTAGAATGAACCACTATGTCATAAATGGCACCAAATAAATAGGCCAGCAGTTCTCAACTTGTGGGTCGAGACCCCTTTGGGGATCGAATGACCTTTTGCAAGGGTTTCCTAAGACCATCAGAGAACACAGACATTTACATTATAATTCATAACAGTAGCAAAATTACAATTATGAAGTAGCAACGAAAATAATGTTTCGGTTGGGGGTCACCACAACATGAGGAACTGTATTAAAGGGGTGCAGCATTAAAAAGGTTGAGAACCGCTAGAATAGACCTTTGGAGCAAGTAAATGAAGCTCAAATGGTGACACGAAAAACAGTCCCAAGAGTCAATATAATGAGTCAAGCATGCTCTGCTTAAAGAGCCTCCGGGACTCAGTAGTTAAGGGCACCTGCGCCTGCTGCTCTTGCAGAAGACCAGTGCTTAGTTCCCAGCACCCACGTGACTGTCTGTAACTCCATTTCCAAGTGATCGGATACCTCTTCGGACCACCTCATGCTCCTGCACACACGTGGTACGCTTCGATACACTCGGCCACATACACATAAAAAATGAGTGAACGAATGAATGAATTTTAAACAAAAAAGTATCTTGACTCCTTGCAACAGGGCCATGCAGAATAGGAGGGAAGGACTGGAAGCTGTGCCAGGCTAGTAACTCATAGCTGGGCATCATCCACAGGCAGCAAGAGCAGCCTGCAGCCTGTGTGTAGAAAGCAGGCTAGGGAGCTGGGCCAAGAAAACGAGAGAAAAACAAAAACAAAATAGTCTACCAACTGGGAAGCACTTCAGAGCAGGGCACAGGGCCCTGACCTTTGGTTGTCTGTCGTGGGAGGGCCAGGGAGAACAGAGGACTGCAGGAGGTCATAGATGTGGGGTGCAAGTGGGGTGAGCTTTGAATGCAGCTCAAGGCAAAGCCTGCACTACAGGTTGGACCAGTGCAGGCTGGAGAAGAGGGAAGCCATGGGAGAACCATCAGGGAATGCTCAAGTTCCAGATACAGTAAGTAGCTGAAAGCTGACCTGATTCTAAAATCAATGCAGGGCCTTGTAGGTATAGTTAGCAGTGTGATAGGTCCTGTTTATAGGAGAAACCTAGACTCTACCTCATGACCATCGGGACATCCTTCAAGATGCTGGGAGAAGCCAAAGGCAAGAACAGATGAAGAGCTAGGTTCTAGGATCCCATTTTTTCATTTACACAAATCTCAAATATGACAATGTGGTCTCACCCATGAAGTGACTCCCTGACCATACAACGTGGCCTTTTGTTCCAGAATAGGGGAGAGAGAGGAGCCCCTGGGAGACAGGATAACAACAATAATAGTGGAGTTCCGTCAGAGGTAGGGGTGGACAGAGAAGGCCAGAAAGAGGAATTCATCCCAGAACAAAGATGTCCATCCCTAAGTGCTGGTGACTCTAGCCTCTACGTGTCCTCCAGGGAAGAGTTGGGGGGTGAGCATCAGGAAGCTTCCTGGGAAAAGTGAGCCTGTTGAGTAAAGATTAGGAAAAGCAAGTTTCCTCCAAACACAGAAGTATTAGCTTCCCTGAGAGTAAAATAGAGCACCGAATGGGCAGGCTTTTGGTTTTGTGTTTGTTTGATTGGTTGCTTGACTGATTGTTTGATTGATTGACTGGTTGTTTGTTTGGTCTGTTACTTGAGAGAGCGTTCTGCTATGTAACCCAGGCTGGCCTTCAACAGCCACTGGCAGCTCTCCTGCCTTAGCCCCATGAGTGCTGAAATTTCAGATCTGTGCCAGTGTACCCAGCTATGATGGGTGATCTTGAAGAGAACACTGTCAGAAATTGTCCTGTGTAAGAGGTTCAGTCCATAGGGCGCATCCAAGACCCAGATTCAAATCTCAGCTCTTAAGAGTAGCTAAAGACTCAAGTCAGCTGTTGCCTCAGAGCTGGTCTGGTCACCTAGAGACTTAGGATATGTGCAAGTGTTGCTGGAAAGACTGAAAGAATGCAGGCCATGCACTTCAGAGAGCTCTTGACACATGGGGGCCTCTCAGCAAATATTTTTCATACTAATTTTAACAGTAGTGATTTTAAAATTATAATCAAGATGCCATGTGAATTTTAAGAGCTCAACACCACTTGCACCAGGCACCACACACTCAACAATTAAAGACACAAGAAAATGGAAAAGGCATAGGACATAAGATAAGACAAATATTTCATGGACCAGAAACTCCATAAAATAAAGGAGGAGTAAGCAGACCAAGGTGGGCCCCATGAGCATTGGTGACTGGTCACCATGATGACTACTTTGATTCCTCTATCAAATGCCTTTGTAGATTGTATCACAGTTATGGTTTCCATCTATAGCCTCCCCACCTGGTCCACTCAGAGAGCCTCTCAAGTGGAGAAATGAATTCATCTCTGTGTCCCTCAGGCTTTTCCTGGTGCTGGGTGCATGGACGCAAAAGAAGTGGCCAATGGAAATTTCATAGGCTCGCAAATAGATGGACGGTACACCTGTTTTTCAAAGCTCTCTTTTCAGCTCATTGTGAATAAAGCTGCCAAGGAAAGCTTGGGCACTCCGGGAGTTCTATATGGAAGGAGCCCATCTCCACCTCACTTCCTGTTAGCCAGGTGGTTAGACCCTCAATGACCAGTAATGCCAAGAAAAAGTATGCAGTCTGCTTAAGTGTGTCCTTGTGGGTAAGGCATTCATTCCCTGGATGCCTCATTTTTCCAGTGAGTCACTGTGAGTGACACTATAGCTTTTAAACCTCAGCATCTGCCTGATGGCAATTCTCTTCCCTGCACCTCCTTCCTTTCCAGAGAAATGGATAAACAGAAATATGAGATCTTCCAAGAGGTCTGGAAATAATGTAGAGTGACATCATTTCTTTATCTCAGGATCAAAATGTCAAGATGTTTCCTTTGTTCCCTTTTCCGTTGCAGACCTCACATTCCAGTCGGCAAATTGGTGATTTCCGAATCCTATGACACCTACATCAGTAGAAGTTTCCAAGTGACAAAAGAGATAATAAGTGAATGTAAAAGCAAAGGTAGGTGGCATGGTTTGGGACTCCATATTTAAATATGTGAGCATCTCTCCCTTGTGATTTATGAACTATTCGGGATGTTTGAATTTGCTTTTTCAAGTTTAATAGGAAAGACAAATGCTTCCAGGCTCCCTGGTGGAGCCTTTCACATTCAGTCTGTGATGTTCTATGAGGATCTAACATGGTAGGCATCACACAGGAACCCAGTAGATGCCATCGCTCTGTTATGTAAGCTGGGCTAGTCATTCTGTATCCTGTGGAGGGGATGCCCAGTTATAATTTCCGGAAGTCCTATAGAATGATACCATTTACCTGCAGTGATCCAGGATGGGAACATCTACACACAGACTCACCCACAGAAATGCATACACTGTCCCTGCTGTCACTAGCCCAGAGCACTGTTGGGTAACGCTCAAGTCTCTTTGCACCTTGGAGACTGGTCTCAGTTGATGACATGGAGGACCAACTGCCCACCGTGAGTTTTAGGTTAACCTATTTATACCCAGGGAGCAAAAATTGTAACTGCATACATGCAGATGGTAGTCATGGGCAACTGAGGACGGCTTTCCCACATTTCGGTTATTACTGATGAGCTACTCGCTACCATGGAGATACGCGAGGCGTGCTCTCAACTGTGAGGTCTCAAATGCTCACCGTTCTGCAGTGGTGACATTTAAAACTGTATTAGAGCCAGGCGGTGGTGGTGCACACCTTTAATCCCAGCACTCAGGAGTCAGAGGCAGGTGGATCTTTGTGAGTTCGAGGCCAGCCTGGTCTACAGAGCGAGATCCAGGAAAGGCGCAAAGCTACACAGAGAAACCTTGTCTCAAAAAAACCAAAAAAAAAAAAAGAAAAAAAAAAAACCTGTATTAGAGGGGCTAGGTCAGGGAGCCTGCAAAGGTAGAGTGGTAAGCTTGTGGTGTCTCGATTGCAGTGATAGTTACACAGAGCTGTACATGTGAAGGCATCACCAAAAACCGTGTGCTCACACACAAAGCAGTGCTGATGGACCTGATGAGATCAGAGTCGTGAATGGTACCCACATCTATTTCCCTGGTTTTGATGGAAAACCACTTCATGAAACATAGAATTGTTGGGGAGGCCAGGTGAAGGGACATGAGACCTCCTTACCCCAGTAGGATATGGGGGTATAACTTCCTATAAGTTTGTAATTATTTCTACTTTTTATTTTTGAAAATAATTTTTAGTTCTTTTTAAATCATCATACAAGATATTAGATATTATTATGACATGCAAGGTATTTGATATTATTATGAACATTTTCAAGAAAAGTGTGTTTTAGTGGATTCTCCTCCCCCAAATTTACCTATTAATGTGCTGTGTCCAGGACATTATACATGATAGAAATATTCTATCACTGAACTCTATCCCTAGATTTCTTTAAAATTTTTAATTAGCATATAATAATCATACATATTTATAGAGTGCAATGTGATTTCAGTCTATGTATATGTGATGTATAGTGAGCCAGTCGGGGTAATGAGCCTCTCTCATTTCCTAGGAAATAACATTCTGATTGTAGCCCACGCATCTTCCCTGGAAGCCTGTACCTGCCAACTCCAAGGCCTGTCCCCTCAGAATTCCAAGGACTTCGTACAAATGGTCCGGAAGGTAATTCACTCTTGCATTTATGGGGCCCGCGGTACTGTGTGTTTTCATAATCACTCGGTGACTGACTGATAGCTAATTTCCCTGAAGCAGAATTTTTTGCTGAGCTGAGAAGACTCGTTTACTGATTCACTCAGCCAAGACGTGTTCAGGAGAACTCTGTAGGGTATTTGATTAGGATAGTGTAAGAGGAAAGGGTTTTATGGAGGAAGCTAAGAACTGTAAGTAATGAGGGAATAAGCCGAGGTAAGTACGAATACAGCCAAGATCTCAGCCTGAAAAGAGGGCCCAGCAGGCAGGCCAGGAGAAGCAGCATGTGAGAACAACCAGGCCGAGAGATAAACTCAGGACCAAGGCAGGACAGAGGCCCCAGGAGACTGACCTTACCCTTCTGTCTGGATTCTTCCATCAGCCACATCCACACACCTCTTCAGGTGAGGAGGAGGCTGTCTCCTTTCCCTTTGAACGGAGACACTAGTTCAAACTCAATCACAATTTTCTTATTTAAAAAAAAGGTTCACTTAGGCATGCACCCATCCCCTTAGTCTGTAAACTACCAGGGATAGGTTGGCTGTCTGTTCATGACTGTGCCTCTGGACTCAGAACACAAAACGAAGCTCTGAATTGCCATGACAGCCTCTGGTGTCTTCTCTGAATGTCACAATTGCACGTGCTGTGCTCCCCACAGAAGAGAAAACAAGGTTGACACGTTTTTGTCTTTTCTTTCTTTCCTTTTTTATTTTTGTTGTTGTTGTTGTTGTTTTGTTTTTCGAGACAGGGATTTTTTTGTATAGCCCTAACTGTCCTGGAACATAGACCAGTAGTTCTCTGACCTTAAACCCACAGAGATCCGCCTGCCTCTCTTGAGTGCCGAGATTAAAGGAGACACATTTTTTTTAATTGAATAATCAGCTATGTATGGTGGCACAAGTCTATAATCCCAGTCCTTGGAAAATAAATCCTGGATGATCAAGACTTCAGGATCATCCCTAGCTGCATAATGAGTTCAAGGCCAGTCTGGACTACATGAGACCCTAACTCAAAAAACTTGGATAATATTCTTTCCCATTATGCCCAAATACAATGCGAGAAGTCCTTGGTATGCCTTTTAAACTTGATATGCGATCTGGAGTTCAATCCTAGGTACAATTGCATTACTCTAGTCTCTCCCCAACACCGAGAGCAACTGTGATCTGAAAATACAGTATTATACAGTAAGATATTGGCAGGGTGGGAGGTGAGCGCATTCACATAACTTCTATTATAGTATATTGTTAAAACTGTTCTGTTTTATTTATTATTGATGTTTGTCTTACTGTGTCTAGTTTACAAATTAAACCTTATCATAGGTGTGTAAATACGGGGGAAAAATATAAACAGGGTTTGTTACTGTCCAGGTTTCAGACGTTCACTCTGAACCTGGAGCACATCCCCATGGTTAAGGCAGCACGTGCATGCTTCTACTCTCGTCCCCCACGCTGCTGCCAGCAATCTGAGTCACCTAGTGGGTGCTCACCATTGACCAGATCCCACTGATCAGTCCTAACATGGCTGCCTTAGATCTGCCAGTCCCATCCATTTAGGAATGTTTGTTGACTTGAAAGGCTTTCCATGTCTGCCTGTGTGCTCTGGAAACACTTAGTGTTTGTGTCAACATCAGGGTTAAGGCATTAACTCTCGGTCCTCTGTTCTTCCCCTTTTTTGCTGCTGTGACTTCAGATCCCATACCTAGGCTTTTGTTCCTGCGAAGAACTGGGAGAGACTGGAATATGGCAGCTGACAGACCCGCCCATCCTTCCCCTCACCCATGGACCCACAGGGGGCTTCAACTGGAGAGAGACCTTGCTGCAAGAATAAGCCGCCTGAGTGCTGGGAAGAACTGGCCTATTGCAGATGAGTTCTCAGGATGTTCAGTAGCAGTGGAAGAGCCCACCCTGCATTCCACATGGACAGCTCAGAATCATTTAGCATATTTCTTTTCACGCTAAGGGTCTTACAGTGAGACTGTGTCAATGAGAGAAAGGCATGATTCAGAAGGAGAAAAAAAAATCTGTCTTCTCTGGACTTGCCTAGCTAACATGGCTTTGGAGAATTGTCTTCCCAAGCTGGGGCACCTGCTGCCGCAGAGACTACCATCCTTCTTCAGGCTATGCATGGCTAAAGAGCCTCACTCTTCTCCCAGAGAGCTGCCCCCACCCTCCAGAGACATGGCAAGGGGAAGGACTGTGTTTCGAATCCAAATGGGGATGGGATAGTCTTTTGTACTCCATTGGCAAGTTAGGCAAAGCCACACTGAGGAGTGCTTTGGTGGTTATTAGAAACCATAAGAATAGTCCTTGGCTCCTGCAGCAGATTCCATCCCCAGCAGACGCCATTCACTAGCGTGCCAGGCACCTGCCTGAGGACTCCAACCTTCACCCTGGGACCACCACTTGACCTCCAGAGCAGCCTGGCCCTTCATGCTTCTGTCTGTGAAATGGGGAGAGAAGCACTTTTGCTCTCCAAAGCACTTTGAGATACTCAGGGGGAAATAAAGAAAAATGGGTGAAGTATTAAATGGGAGGTACGGTGACTTGCAGAATTATTAGTCAAGTTGAAATTACCCCTGTGATAGCCCGATGAGCTGTGAAAGCCCTAAGCCAGTCTGAATCAAGATCTGTCTTTCCACCCAGGCTCTCTGACTGTGTTAAGCAGTTAAGGAGATTGACATCTGGAAGGATGTATGTTCGATTCATTATTTGGATCAGCAAAAACCCCCTTTCGTGCAATATGGATATTTTTAGAAGCTATACGGAGGGTCGAGTTGTACACACGCAGTCTCTGTCAACTGTAGCAGGAAGTCCCTAGGTAAACCAGTTCTAGGTTCTTTAAGGAGGTCAGGAGGCCGACTGGGACGATGACAGTTACACAGCGCTGCTCCTTTTGCTGTCCTCTTTATTTGCTTTTCTGTGATAATTTAAAATAGACGGAAGGTAGGGCTGCTTGAAGGGAGTTGACAGTCACAGCCTGTCTGTGGACCCTCGTCACAGCTGCTTCCTGTAGTTAGAGAGAGTGTGTGTATTTAAAAAAAAGAATAAATGACAATCAAGTCAAAACGTCACTTATCAATGTCTATTTAATTGTGTGAATAGCCATTAGGGCCCCAGACGTAGCCTGGTATCAGATAGTTCACTGTGTAGCGTGTAAGATACTTAGAGAAATATTTCGCCAGTGTTCCATTTGGGTAAATAAGCTGTGATTTTTGCTAGTACAGAAAGAACATGGGCCCAGCTTCCGGCGTGGATGGAACCCAGTGGTGACGTGTTAATTATGTTTTAACCTTAAAATATCTTGGAGGAAAGACTGAGTAAAAGTCTCAAAGGAAGAGTCACGGTACGGTCACTGTGATGTCCCTGTCACTCATTCCTCTGGCCTCTGTAGTGAAGCAAACCCACTGTTCACTCAGATTCAGAATGGTTCACCACTACCTCTCTGGATTTGGCGTTCCCAGTAAATATCAGAGTTCCTTGATTCTGTCAAGAAGCCATGGGTAGTGTCTGTGACTGGAAAAAACAAACAAACAAACAGTTCCTCCTCGGTTTTCCTCTCGGCCTCTTTCAGTTTTCTTAGCCTTAAGTGTCCAGGTAAATGAATCACTTTGATCGGGCCACATTCTATCATCCTTAATTCAATATAGACAGAGTCCCGGGCAATTTTGACAGAGCCAAAGAGGACAGGATCTGAAGTAAGTTTCTGAATAACTTAAGTGGAAAACTCTTGAGTACAGAAACATTTAATTACCTAAATTGCTTATCAAAATGGCTGGGTGAACTGTATTCAATTAACATCTTATTGCATGCTGGCCTACTTAAAAAAAATTAAACATCGGGTCCAGCTGAGCAATCCTTTGAATCACATTGAATCCGTGTGTAAAGAGACATCCATATCATCAGATTTCATATGCGTATAAAAGTTCCCTGCTGGCAGTAGACCCTAAGTGGTGGTGAGTTCTTTTTGATCTGTAGCTCACGTTTATTAGCTCAAATGATATTTGGGAGAAGGAATGAGTTGGGGACAGGGCAGAGAAAATAAAAGAAAATTTTCATGCCCCTCCCCTTTGTTTTTTGCGAGTGTTGGAAAGCTATCTGATATCTGAAATACACCAAGGGAGATGAAATTAGTGAAAGGGTTTACTATGGTATTACACGTCTAAACAGCATCCTTCTTTAACAAGCGTGAGCATGCTCCAGTATTATTCCTAGGTAGGACTTTGTCCCCGTGGTTTCTTCTGTGGACTGGCTGGAATCATTGGCGAATGTTAATGCACGCACTGGGACTGTTCTTTTCCCAGGCTCTCCTCACCATCGCTGCCTGACTATGAGGAGCCCTTTGCTTCACCCCAGAGTGACAATAGCGTTTAGATAAATGTGTCTTTCCCTTTGCATTAAGATTCATGCGATCTGAATGGCTGATTAAGTGGCCAGCTGATGGCTGAGAAAAGAGCTTATTTTTTACCCTCCAGTGAAAGGCCTGGGAGACTTTCTACTTCTTATTTTAATTATACTTTAACCAAAGAATTATTTTAAAGTAAGCTTATATTTGAAAGATGATTTTGCAATAAATAAATAAATTAATTAATTATAAGCGTGCCTTCTGGAGCTATGTGGGTTTGGTACATCGCTGTTGATCATTTTCTTGCCAGTTTTGTTTGGAATACATGTAGATGGTCTTCCTGCTGTGTGTAGCTCTGCCCTAGATGTATTTTCCTCCCTCTATGAGCTGCAGTCCTGTGAAAAGGAAGTCTTTTATGTCAGCTATCTAATGTCACGGGGAGCTCAGTGAATGGCGACAGGGAGAGAAGTTCTTGTCTCGCTGCCTTTGTAGAAAAGTTTGCTTCCGTGCCCCAAACGCGGCATTCCTCTGTAACCCAGGCGCTGGGTCTCACTTCACAGTGGTGATGAATTGCTCTTTTGAATCTCCTCTCAGTATATTCATGTGTTAGAATACAGATGAGCCTCCCACTGAGCTTCGCAGGGTCGGCACAGTCAACTGTACCAAATCTGCACAGAGCTGGATAATGAGACTCCCGGAGATTTGCATTTAAATTGTCATCCGGCACATGCCAAGTGAGGGGGAAAGGAGAGGGGTCTAGTATGATGAGCCTGTGCTGCTGCAGGGGACAGACTGGCAAGGAGGGCAGGGGACAGCCTGACCTGAACGTCTGTTCAGGTGACTGTCCATGTTACAAAGGCGATGGGGGGTGGGGTTGTTAGGCGAGTGTTTTTCACCGTCAGACACAGGACTGAAATTGGATTTGCTTCTGTAACACTTCACCATTGATTTCTGGGAAAGTGACCATAGGCATTGCCTCTCAATGCAAAGAACTGGACTGTTACATACGTATAGTGTTTGGTTTGCTGTGTGTAGGTAGAAAATTAGGGTCATTCGTAGTCAAAGAATATACAGTCAGTTCTCACAGATATTTGCTCCTTAACCGCCATTACTTGCACAGAAATTTTGCAGCTGTTCAACTGTTGGAGGACTCTGTACCGGATAGATGTGTATAATGGAAACAATGTATACTGGAATAGATGTATATAATGGAAACAATGTATACTGTTTCCTTGATTGCCAACGAGATGAGAGCAGCATCCCAAAGCCTTTGAGTTACGCGTACACCATTCTGAACCTGCTATGTTGGAAACGTGTGTCAGTTTCTTTCTCACTTATGAGACTTTTGTATCACTTCTTTTCTATGTGATCCCGATGTATTTATTTAGGGAAAAGTTTGTAATTACAAAAATAGAGAGAAAACCACACCCAGCCGTACTGCCAAATTCCTTGTACATCTCCTGCGGCATTTGTGCTTGCTGGCTGAGAAGCTGATCTTCCTGACAGAGCTGTGACAGCATTGTGAGCAGTTCACCGCATTCTAGGACCATATCCGCTGAAATGGTTCACAGATGATGTAATAAAAAGAAACTGTCCTCAGTCAATCCAGAACAACTGCAGATTAAATCCTGAGTGTGGTCTCTTCCTGTTGTATCTTCGGATGGTACTGTGGTCACTGTGACTGCAGGTGACCGTTAAGAGTGTGACTCTTCCAACGGAGGGTCAGAGGGATGCTAGCTGCTAATGGAAAGGGGAGGATCCTTTGGCAGCTCTGTGGATCTTGGGTCCTTTCTGGTGAGACATCCAGATGGAGTGGTGAGAACCCAGTAGTCACTGAAAGAGCGTGCACCATCTTTCCTCCAGTTTATCCTAGGCAAACTGTAGGGGACACAGGATACCTGTCCATCAACTGATTAGGGCCAAGGCTTCCATGACAAATACAAATTAACAAGAGAAAAATAGGCAATTTAACTTTTATACCGCATGGGAAGCTTCATAATGAAATGAAGACCCAAGACTCAGAACACAGTGAAGCCTAACCATATACATGCACATAACTGGTTTTGGTTACGATTTTGACACAGAGACTCACATAGCCCAAGCTAGCCTTGAACTAGTTTTATGGCTTTAAATTCCTGGTCCCCTGTCTCCATTCCCCAAGGCTGGGATTACAGACACACACCACCACACAGGGCTAAAGCCTAAATGTTTTAATGCTAAGTTTGAGGGGAAATGGATAGTTGCGGAGAAACGTGATAGAGCAAACAACAGGATCTAATGGTAACAAGTTGCCAACAGCTATGCTCTGCTTGGTCTCTCCTTAGTTTCCCCCTGTCATCAGAGACAAGGAAGCCCCCTTGTCTTGGTTGTTGAAATAGCCCCTCTCACGAGAGGGTTCTGGGACCTGTTGGGTGTTGGGGGCTCGGAACATCCTTTGTAGGTTTTATGACCTGCTTTGGGGGATAATGGCACGGGTGTTAGGAGTGACCTTCTTGCTGTTGTTTTCAAACTCCATCTTACAATCCTCAGTTATACCAAATTGACATATTTGAGGGGGCAGTTCTGAACCCCATTGGCATCACCCCCCATCAATGACCACTTCAAGAAGGTGTGGTGTGCCATGCATCATCCACGGAGCAAAAACATGAAAGACATGGGGGGGGGGGGGGCGGCACAAATCTAGCTAAGGCTACATTCTATTCTCATAGCCTTCATTTCTAAATTGTATGTTAAGCTAATAAGATTTTAAAATAAGCCTTGAAAGCAAATTTGTGCCCAGGACATGAATACAGATTTTCATCTACACAGCCATCCACAACCCCGGCAGGGTCCACTTCCTGAGGAAACGTAACAGCTAATGCTGGGGTCTACATAAAAGACCAGGTTATGTTTAGCCTTCTGGCTCATTCTCAGCTCTTCTCCGCTTGAAAGATTCTCAAATGCCTTTTGCCCTTTTGCGGTGTGTGCAAAAGCTGCCTGCACATCCAGAAAAAAAAAAATCACTCAGCATGCTTTGCATCTGCTTAGGCTGACATCAGCAAAACGTGGTGCTTCTCTTGTGTGTGGGTCTGGCTCATTGTGTGTGGGGTTTGTTAGGACCCTCCCCCCACCAAAACCATCTTCCTTTCAAAGAAAAGAAGACTGCATTCTCCAGAAACACACATGTGAACCCCAGATTGCTTGCTTCTAGCCAGGAAAAGACGTCCTGGCCTATTCAGCTTTTGGCTGTCCTTGTGTTCTTGGGGCCGTCCACAAGGCCTACCTATTGCTGGAGAAGAAGGCCAGGCTACTGAGGGTGATGCTTCCAGAACCAAAGCTGGGCATACCACTGGCTCAGGTTGGCTGTGGCGTATCTCCGACTCACATCACCTGTAACTGACCACAGTAATGACTTCCTTTCTCCCTGTGTCCCTCCCTCTTTTCTTCCTTCCGTCTTCCTTCCTTATGTCCCTCCCTTTTCCTTCCTTCCTTCCTTCCTTCCTTCCTTCCTTCTTTCCTTCCTTCCTTCCTTCCTTCCTTCCTTCCTTCCTTCCTTCCTTCCTTTCTTTTGCCAGTGTGCTTTGAAGAATCAAATGGGAAAAGGATATAAAATAATTGATACCAAATGCCAAAAGTAACAAAATACTACCTGCTGATACATAGATAACTGCTTTTCTAAGGCCAAGATAAAACTCTTGGACTGTTCCCCTTGCCTGGGAATATGAGGGGTGAGGGATGGAAGCCTCATTCATAGAGACACTGTCTCTTTCTTTTCCCTGTAAGTGAGCTGCTGAGGACAAGAATGGTGAACGTTGATGTGTTGGTTAGTGTCTGTGGAGATCTTGTGATTATTGTTGTTGTGGTTGGGGAGTTTGTCTGAGGCACAGTAAGGTGAGTGGAAACTTTGACAGGACCCACCAGCCACTATGATGGAGCGTGGCTTTGGAAGAGATATGGGGCAGGAGATGCTCTCTTGGGTGAGATGCTCAGGAATAGAGATGCTAAGAGGGTGACCACTGAACGAACTAACTGTTCATAGCAAAGGACTGTACAGGAATATTTGGAGGAGGTTCCCAGTGCAGCGTTGAGTAGTAGGACTGTTTGGGGATTTGCTCTGTGGCCTTCACAGGAAGAGTAAATGCTAAGGCACAATGTGGTGAAGCTTGGGGATGTTATCTGAAGCTCATGGAGTCTGGGACAAAAACTAGTTTCTCTGATAATAGATTCAGAGACAGGGCTGCTCCAGGACTAGCCAAGTGACAGGCAGCGTTCAGTGAACATTTGTATTTATCATGCCCTGACTCATGCAACATTTATTTGTTTGTTTTGTTTATTTGTTCACTAATTTACTTGTGTGTGTGTGTGTGTGTGTGTGTGTGTGTGTGTGTGTGTGTGTGTACGTGTCCATGTGTGTCCAGGTATGTGCACATGTATGTGGAGTCCAGAGAACAATGTTGGTGTTTTCCTCAATTCCTCTTCATCTTATTTTTTTTAATGATAAATCTTATTTTTACTTTTATTTGAGTGTGTATATACGTTTGTCTGTGTGTATGGGTGCTCACAGAGGCCCCAAGAGGGGATTGGATTCCCTGGAGTTGGAGGTAAAGATGATTGTGAGCTGCCTGATGTGGATGTTGGAAATTGAACTCAGGTCCTCTGCAAGAGCAGCCAGTGCTCTTAAACCCCTGAAGCACCTCTCCAGCCACTCCACATTTTTGTTTTTGACCCAGAGTCCCACTACATAGCTCTAGCTGGCCTGGAACTCTCTATGTAGACCAGGGTGGTCTCTAATTCGTAGAGACTACCCTGCCTCTCAAGGGCTAGAATTAAAGGAATGCAGTCTCTCCCTGAACCTAGAGCCCTCTGACTTGACTAGCCTGGCTGGTCAGCAAGCCCTGGGCATCTTCTTGTCTCTGTCTCCTCAGTGCAGGGTCCATGTCTGGCTGTTAGGTGCCTTCTGGGGATCAAACTCAGGTCCTCAACTTTGTGGTATCAGCCACTTTGCCAAGTGAGCCATCTCCTCAACACCTATGCACCTTCAATCTTCTTGACAACCCTACCATTCTGATGTAAGAGAGAGGAAGCTGAATCTTAGAGATATTTAATAGTTTGCCCACAATCACATGACACAGTCACATGATGAAGAAGCCCTAAAGCTGAGAATCAATAACCATGCCAATGTGCTTCCTGGGGCCCAGACTAATAGCCTAAATCTTTTTATTTCATTTTGCTTGTTTGTTTCTTGATGGTTTGGGTTTTGAAATAGTGACTTGCATTTATCCCAGACTGGTACAGAACTCCATATTAGCCTAGGCTGGCCTCAAATCCTGATTCTCCTGCCTCTCTTTCTTGAAGACAGGGATTAGACATGCACCCACTATGCCCATCTAAAACTGTTCAAGAAACTTCATGAAAATATTGCAGAAGTCAGGACACCAGTGGGACATAGTTAGAAATTCCTGACTTACCTCTAATCTCCTCATTTACAGGTGAAAACATGGGGACAGTCACCTGTCTGTGAGCTGGGACCTGAAAGTGGCCTTGGCTATTCTGCAGTCATTCATTTAAGCTACAATCTACCCCCCTCCTTCTCTTCTTCCTTGCCTTCTTTTCTTTTCTTTCCTTTCCTTTTCTTTGCTCAGGTCCTAGGGATGGTCAGGGCCTTGGGCATGCAAGGCAGAACAATTTTCTTCTGAAATCAACTCATATTTGGGCTGTTTCCAGAATCATCTATTTGATTAAATTAAACCTCCCACCTCCCTGAAAGCTTAGGGCCAGATTTCCAAGTAGAAGTCTTAAAGGCAGAAGCCTAGTTGTAAGTTTTGTTCTAGTTTCACCCCCAATACTGAGACAAACACCACAACCAAAGCAACTTAGAGGAAGAAGGGATTTATTTGGCTTACAGTTCCAGGTCATAGTCCATACTGAGGGAAGTCAGGGTAGAAACCTGAAGCAGAAAACACGGAGGTACACTGCATCCCGGCTTGCTCAGACTCATGGTTAGCTAGCTAGCTTCCTCACACATTCTAGGACTAAGTGCATAGGGAATGGTGCTGCCCACAGTGGGTTGGGCCCTCCTCCGTCAATTAACAAACAATAATTCCTCATCATTGGCCCATAGGCCAGTCTGGTTTGGGTACTCTCTTCTCTGAGGTTCCCTTTTCAGGTGACTCTAGCTGTATCACGTTGACAGTTACAGATAACCAGGGCGGTGCCCTTTTCCAAGCTGACCCATCCTGCCATGGTTGCTGAGATGCAACCCAGCCACCTAGATCTGAAGATCTCTATACCCAAAGGTGCTCAGGGTACTGTGTTTAATTCGGATCTCCCGGTCCCTGTGGGCCATGGTTATTCTTTTCATCTTACAGATGGGGAAATTGATTCCAAGAGACAATAAATATGCTAAGGTGATGTGACTGCTACTAGCAAAGTGTGGGTGAGGAGGCAGGCTCCATCTCTCTCATCTACTGTCATGTCAGGATCTTTGCTGCTCCTGAGAAACATTTTCTGGATCCATGATTTTGAAAGCTAGTGGTCTAGCTTAGAAACCCTACAGGAAATTTTACAACAGTACTGTTTGGGTGGGAGCTCCACCTCAACCCCTGGCACCCTGGCATCTCTATACCCCAAGAGTCTGAAATATTCTG